TCTGCTGGAACCCCATCACGCCGTCGTGACGAAAGGGGCTCGCTTTGCCTCCCTACGAGCTGTCGCCGAGCCCTCCGCTGGAGTCTCTCGACTCCTGGTTCAACTGCCGCCTCTTCCTCCGGAACTCCACCATAAACTCGCTTGAGCTGCCCTCCGCCGCTCCGCCCAATCGTTGGTCGTTCGCCGACGAACGCCAACTTGCCGCCGACGTCGGAAGAGACCCTGCAGCTGTGCCGACGAGCCAGAACCAGTCCCAGCTCCTCACAGGCCCCCACCGGAGTTTCCCGACGCTCCGCCGCCATCGCGCCATTTCCGGCGCCGCTTAGACCAGGAGAGCTCAACCCTCCCTGGTATCATCGGCCAGATCGTCTCCTCTCTGCTCCACTTCCTGGCGCCGCCTGAGAGGCTGATCCTTCCGGTGACGGTTGGGTTTCCGCCCCAACCACCGACGCTCAGCCTTCCCGCCGAAGCGCTGCTGACGCTCGGCATTCCCGCCGAAGCGCCGCAGATGCTCGGCATTCCCGCCAAAGTGCCGCAGACGCTCGACCTTCTCGCTGAAGTGCTGCCGCCGCGCGCGCCCCGCGTGCCGGCTCCTACGTGCCCTAAGGCCGCCGCGTGGCTTGCCTCCCGCGCCCGCTAGCGTGCGCTTCGGCCCACCAGCGGACCCACGCTCGCTAGTGTGCCCTTCGGCCCACCAGCAGGCCCACGCCCTACGACGACGGCTATGGTGACTCTCGACCAAGACCAACCATCAACGCCAAGCATTGCTCTTCACCGGACGTCCCTGCCTTCATTGGATCTACACTCCGTCATGACCTGCCGGGTTATGCAGCCTTGAAGGTTAGCTCCGTACCCCTTCTTACTTAAGTTTAATTATCTTTCGAAGGGTTTTCTTGGCTCGTCTCTACCACCATCAGAAGCACGTAGATAGGATAGGATAAGTTATTAGATTGTGACTTCTGATGCTGTGTCAGACTCGTCACAGTTTGTGAGTTGCAGTCTTAGGCTACTTCACGACGACAATTCTGCCGTCTGTCCAAACATGGACCAAGAGGGCCTCTCACTTACCATCGTCGAGTGTTTCTCTGAGTTGTCTTCGGTTGATCACGTATATTGGTACGTCTACCTGTGCTTAGATTACGTGGTCAGACCTAGAGTCTAGGGTCCAAACATTCTTATTAGATTAGTCCGACTACCCCATCCCGAGACTCGAGTTTCATTGATCAAGTACAGGGGGTTCTTGCCCTATCCTACATCATCCTTCACTAGTGATCTATAAGAAAATCACAATGTAATCAGATAAAAAGAAATAAGTTTTAACTCTAGAAAAATTCAAACCCATGCCAGTCGCCTACCTATATGAGAGAGAGTGAATAAGTACTCGAGTACCCTTACATAGTGATGTTATCATGGTATATCATTATTATCAATAAGGGTATAAAAATCATTGAAAACATTCTGAGAAGGTGTGATTGTCGATTTTAGTCCCACATTGATTTTCTATCAAATGTTGAGACAAATATATACTAATATCACATTTAGAAGCAATGAGTCACTTTCTCGCGTGTGTACGACCACTCTTTGCCCCACTCCCGACTAACCACTAATGACATGGAAAGGGAGTGATGCACATATGCCCCCATTGCTCCATAGTCACTCGAGCCCCTACTCATGGTTCTACCCCTAACTACACTTCTGACCCGTTTACCGGCTGGCCAACAGGTCTCCTCCTTTTTCTATTTTTTTTTATTTTCTTTTCTTTTTTATTTATCTTAAAAATAAGATTATAAAAATCATATAAATTCACATAAAATCACATAATTAATCAAAAAAATATAATAATTAACTAAAAACCACTTTTCACAATTTAACACAAATATAAGTCTATTTATCATGAGTTAAAGTTAAAAGTATAATATTTATTAATTATTAACTCATGATAATGAAGACTTATCACTCTTATTATATGAATGGATGTTTATTTGGTTTCTTTTTTATCATCTACTTCTATAGATCTCTTGTGTGGCACTAGGTAATGTTAGGAGGAGATTAGATTAAGATCTCTCTTACTATCAACCCCTAGAATGACACTAGGTAGATCTAGAACGAAAAATCATCTATAATAGTTATTAATTTTCTTCACTATCTCCTGATCATCTTTTCATCCCTTGATTCATCAAGGTTGAGCAAGAGATCAAGTTGGCAAGAGAAGATGTGAAATTAGAAGGTAGATTAGCAGTAATATAGTCTCCTTCATTCTCCCATTGAACTCTTATGTGAGATGAGATTAGCCTAGAAGGGTAAGGATTTCTTGTGTCGTTATTGTTATTTATAGATATAATCTAAGTTCCAATCAAAATACATGTGTTTTCTACCTTATAAAATCACCTCTTAGTGATTGAAAGATTATCAAGGTGAGATTCTACTCTTATTTTCTCTAGTGACCTTCCTCCCTTCTCATCTACTTCTTCCTTAAACTCAACTATAAAATCCCTAAAAAAAATACATAAGATTAGTCAATTCCCTAGGGACAAACCTGAATTTTTTTATACATCCCATTGCACATCCATATAATTCAGCATATAAATTGTATATTGATTATCTTTTAGTTAGCAACGACTAAGGGACATCAATGTCTACTATATCTCTCTCTATTACATGTATTAGTAAATTATATCCTAAAGCAATTTGAGGTATCTTAGTAGGTTATTCACCTACACAAAAAGGTAATAAATATGTACATATGTGAATATGAAGAAATATACATTAAAAGATGTCACATTTCATAAGTTAGAAACCTTTTATAAGGCCTCTCTAATGATTATTCACAAAATTCCTTTCAAAATGTGCCCCAACTAATCTACAACTCACAATGAATGTTTATTTTTGTCATTACAATCAACACAAAATTTGCATTCAACAACACAACTCAAGGAAAGACAACATGGATCATTTTATTGCCTTTTGTGAAGGAATTCTTTTATGTACTCAATACCTTATATCTAAATATATAAAGTATTAAAAAAATTATCATGTTTATCATTTCTTCATATCTTCCTTAGACTCTACAACTCCACCTAAATCTTTTCCTATGGTAGTAAATGATCCTAAGTTGGTAGAGACCATGGAAGAGGAAATAAAGGTGATTAAAACTGAAACTTAGGGACTTAGTAGATTGACCAAGTCAATAGTAAAATCCAAGTGAGTTTACCATCAAACAAAACTCTAATGGTAGAATTGCCAGGTACAAGGCTCATTTGGTTGTAAAAGATTGCACCTAAACATATGAGATTAAATTATGAGGAGACTGTTGCAACTAGTGTAAAATTAAAATCAATAAGGATATTATTATCATTAGCAATGCATTTTAATTAGATTTATATCAACTTGATGCTAAAATTGACTTCTTAAATGGATAGTTAGATAAGGAAATGTATACAGGTCCTCCTCCAAGTGTAAATATTAAAGGTAAAGTGTGTTGGTTTAAAATAATTTCCTAGGGCATGATACAATCAGCTTCATGAAGCAATTATTCATTTTGGCTACAACTAAAAGAATGAAGACCGTACCTTATTTGTGAAAATAAGAATAATGTTGCTCAACTTTAATAGTATATGCAGATGATTTGATTCCTACAATTGATGATAAACAAAAAATATTAATCTTAGGAATTTTAAAATATTTCTTAGGTATATACTTGGAAGATTAAGAAAAGAAATGTACATTTGTCAAAGAAAATATACTCTATATCTCTAAAAAAAATAGAAATTCCTAAATATATGAGACTTGGGATGCAAACCAGCTATTACACAAGTCCTAAATATACGCATGACCAATATTGAAGGACAAACTCACTAAAAAATCTAAATGTAATTATCAACTAAAAGTTATAAATTTATTATATCATCTCCTTTTCACTAGACTAGACATATCTTATGATGTGAATGTTGTAAGTAAATGTATGAGTTATCCTTGCACTACTCACATGCAAGTGATAAATCAAATATTGAGATACTCAAAGTCTTGTCTATATAATGGCTATTTTTTTCTAAAACCAGATCACTTAAGTATAGGACTCACTGATGCAGATTGAGTAGGATCTCATCATGATAGAAAATCTATCACCAGCTATTATGTCTTTTTTGGATGTAACCTAGTCATGTGAAGAGGTAAATAGTAGACAATAGTAATGAGATCAAGTGCAAAAGTTGTATGGCACATAGACTAATTGAGTTATTGTGATTCAATTTTTTATGTAAGATCTTGGTTTTCATATGGAACTACCACTTAAAATTTAATTCTATCATGGTCAAGTTGAATGTAGTTGACATTTACAATCAGCTTGAGGAAAGGTGTTAAAGAGATATCTATAATTTTTATATCTTTTAAAGTTTTATTATAAACTCATATGTAAACATAAATCTAACCAACAATCCCCAACAATTAGGACAGATTTTTATTTCTTCTTCCAGTCTTCTTCGACATGCCACCCCTCTCAAGAGATGCCCTAATGCAGGACGAGCCTAGGCAAAAGCCACCCCATCTTGTCTTGCCACCACCTAAAATAAGCAGCAAACTCATCTTGTCACTGCTTCAGCTGACAGCACATTCGTCTCACTGCCACCTCAACAAGCAGCACACTCATTTTGCCACTCCCTTCAACGAACAGTGCACTTGTTTCTCTCGTCGCTGTCTCACTGAGCAACGGACTCATCTATCCACCACCTCAATGGCAGCAAACTCATCCCACCGCCCCCACAATGGGCAGCATGCTCAACACGCCACTGTCTCACCTCGCCGGAGTCATGGACTCGCAACTATCACCCTCATCTTCTACCTCTTCATCTCGATTAACCATCACCACATTTTTCTTCAGAGAAAAAGAGAGACTGAGAAACAGAGAGGTTATGGGTGGTAGCATGCAACATAATATTAAATAACCCAAAGAAAGCAATATTATTAGAATAATCTCATTGGGTTGAAAATTTACTACTCAAAAATTACTTTGGGCACTCAGATGCATTAAAGGGAGCCTTCATGAAGTGGAATCCCATGATGTCCCTGTACTCTCCAGTGCCCAGGCAGCGGCTACAATATCCGAGGCCACTTCCACCACACGTCTTACACCTGCAATCAGTCATTGAAAATAAACTGGATGACCCAACAGGAAGCTGAAATCAGCAAAGTTTATATACATCTGTGGTTCCAGATGAGAGATTATTGCAAATAAATTGAATCACCAGTAGGAAGCTAAATTGTTGAGCCATTGCTTGACATACAGAATGAATTGAGTGACCACGTAGGAAAATAAAATTTGCCAATATATATATACTCATACATATGGCTTAAGATGAATCAACAAATAAACCGGATGACCGAGTAGGAAGATAGAATAACTAAATTAAATGTATAAATGATTGAGGATGAAAAATCATGTTGAATAAATAAGATGATGATCAAGTAGGAAGCTAAAATTAGAATCATATATGAATATGCCAATTCATGTGTGTGAGATGGTTCACGATGAGAGTTGATTGCAGATAAATTGGATGAAGTAAGAAGCTAAAATTAGCAACTCACCATCTTGGCCATTCCCCCTTTGGAAGCATTGCTAGGTGCACACAATTTGTTCTACCTAGAGGAAAGAATCCAGGATGACCATGAAGACGCTGAGAGAATATAAGAATTCATCTGTATCACGCAGAGAGAGAGAGAGAGAGAGAGAGAGAGGACGGGGAAGAGACCTCTTCCTTGACATTCATGGCAGTCAACTCTTCCACTTCCATTGCATACCACACAAGGTGGGATGGGCCTCCTTTTTTCCATTTTCGGAACATTCGACTACAATTTAAGAGCAGGATATTAAAATTTGCATAAAATCCCCAAAGTGAAATATAATGAGAAAATGCAACTGGAATCTGTCCCCTAAATGCTCTGAAATATCTTAACCCAACATCACAGTGAGGCAAGCATATCTGAACCTCAGCAGGATCAGATTGAAAGCAGACCCGCACTTTTCAAATGCATAAAAGCAAGAAAAAAAAATCAAGAAAATAGTGTGCAAATATATGAGATCCGTCGAAACAAAAGTAAGGAAAAAAAATATATAAGAAGCCGTCCCGTACAATGCATTAAGCCATCACTGCATTCTTATGGTTTGCAGATCAATGATAGAACAGGTGTTTTGGATAAGTTTCCACCATGTCTTCAGTCTGTTAACACATGCCACTTTACTCTATTTAATATTCAATGGTTTATAAGCAATACTCTTGGCAATCATGACTATAATGGTCCAACGGGACCAAGGATGATGAATAATGATCCAAACGCTAAACTATTAGGATAACACATATCTGAATTTTATTTTTTATAATGCGAGATAAATGGCCAATAGATAAGTGATTAGTTTACCAAAATCTAGCTAAACTATAAGGCATTAGGAGATGACTCTTTAATTCAAGAAATCCCAAGAATTGAGGAATATTCTGGTCAACCATTTGTATTGAGATAATTTACGCACTGCAGATTTATCAATTTGTATAGATTCAGTAGCGTGAATGAACTTGGTTTTTCAACATGAATCATGTGTTTGGACTCAAAAGATTATGCGATGAAGAAAGAAATTAAGGGCTCAAGAAAAACAAATGGTGTGTGCGGGCTCTTAAAATGGGGTTATAAGAGACGAATGTGCAGATAACTGTAAACATGTGAAACAATATACTGAGATTATAGATGTATCATAAATGACAGAAGATTTTGTGTTTCTATATATGACTGAAAACATTAAAACGAAGGCAGCATGGGGAATGATTTTTACGCGGCTCATCTACTGTCGCTTAAAAAATAACCCCAGAAACCCAGTTTGGAATAATATCAAACAATCCTTACTGAAGCAGAATCGAAATCTGGTGAAGATTTGGTCACTTTGTCTGATTTTACTTCACTAGATGGAAACTAGAGTGAGAACGGGGGAACATTGGGAATCTACTAGAAGAACGGCAGCAGAATGTTTGAAGTCCATGTTCAAGTGCCCAATTGCTCATGTTTTCGTGATATGGTTTTAACCTTGAGCCTCTGTTCTACGTATGTATATTCTCCGACATATGGAACCTAAATTTATTTCCCATAAGCAGAAATGATCGAAAACTATCGAAGATCAAGTCCATTGAAACATTATACACCAAATAACGAAAGCAAGCGTTAAAAATTCGTCAGTTCCCTGCAGGACAGGCATGTTAGCGCAACGGGAAGTGGCCGTAAAGGATTCATAAATTGGAGAGGGCCTCATTCCCCACCTCGGCCCGGACGATCAGCGAGGGCTTGGAGACGCCGAAATGACCCTCCGACGAACCGAATTGGTGTTTCCGAGGGAGGAAGACGTCTCCATCTGAGCTGGCCTCTGCCCTTAGAACGAGCGCCGGGAGGCCCGCAGTGGCCACCGACATCCAGATGTTGTCGACTCGTTCTCAGCACCTTCCACGCTCTGCCGGCGGCTTCTTGAATCCCGGAGAAGCGGGCGGTGGGTGGGGCGGCGCCGCCGTGGTGGCGCTAGGGCATGTCAGTGGGAACATCTTCAAAGCACATCACCCCCATAGTTTTAAAAAGCTTAGATATACCCGCACCGTGGACATGAGATTCATTGCTAATTCCATACCCAAAAAATCCCTGATTTTATTAAATTGTTTACATACCCTTACAATGTTCCTACCCTTACAATTAAGAATATTTTAAGGCCCGAAAAGCAATAACATCGAAAACCCTCCTTGTTTCATAAAATCCGCATCGTTGTCTTCCCCGGAGAAATAGATCGATCTGTGCTTGACGGGCATCTTCAGAAAACCCTAAACCTCAAAGCGGATGTTAGCAACGAAGAGATTAGCAGCAGATCCGTGGTTTCTATAATCTGAAACTATTTAGAGAGAGGTGAGTGGTCATTGCTATCATCCAGTAACAGGAGCACGGAAGCTTCAGGTTTTTCATGGGGGTAGGGAGGGCTAGGAGCACGGAAACTATCGCCGCGGCAGTGGCCCGCACAGTCATAAAGCTAATCCAACCGGGTATCAGGCAAATGACGAAGACGATGGAGCCCCGTTCGTCCGCAGCTGTACTTCAGACTTCTAAGCATTTATTTACAGGGAACAAGAAGAGAGAGAGAGAGGAGATCAGACGACCCAGATGGCCTGCTCGCTGCCTTCGCCGGAGATCTCGCCGGCTATGTTCCTTGGCTGGGGCTCCACGTAGAGGCTGCTCCCCGGAGCGGGGGCGGCGGCAGCAGCAGAAGCAGAAGCAGAGGAGGGGGCCTTCTCTCCAGCGATCCTACCCATCTCCTCCTCCATCGCCAGCCGGTGCCTCACGGCGCAGTTGTACAGGTCCTCGTCACCGGCGGCCTTCAACAGGGCGGGGACGAAGCCCCGGACGAGGAGATCGTACCGCCGGGAATGGAGATGAGGAGGGGGCGGAGTGGTCTCGCCGGAGGGCGGCTCGCCGGCGCCGCCGGCGGCCCGGGTCCACCGCTTGAGCACGTACCGATCGGGGATGACCCTCAAGTCGTCGGTGATGCAAGCCAGAACGTGCCCGCAGAGGACGCCGGCGAACTCGAACCTCTGGCAGCTGCAACCGAAGACCTGCTCGTGCAAGTCAACCCGCACCAGGTACTCGTGGCGCCGCCCGTCCTCCACGGTCAGAACCCTGACCTGCCCGTTGACTTCCTCGTTCTTGATGAGGCACTCCAGCCCGACGACGTACTCCGCCATGAACATGTAAAAGACGGAGGAGGTGTAGACCCGGGCGGCGTGCTTGATGATGCTCACCGGAGGCACGTAGGGTTGACTCTGCGTCATCCTGAAGTTCGCCTCCAGCTCCTGGCGGCGCTTACCCTCCAGGAATCGCTCGAAGCGGGCGAAGAAGCGGAGGACGCCGCCGTCACCGCCGCCGCCGCCACCGCCGGGGAGTTGGAGGCAGCTCCGGAGCTCCCTGGTCAACGACTCGGCCCGCTGCGAGCTCCGGATGTCGGCGCAGAAGGTGCTCCGCCCGTATGCCGCCGCCCACCGCTCCCGCTCGTCGAACTTCTGCTGCAACCAGGCGTTCTCAAAGAGGGAGTACTTCACCAGCATGGCATTCCAGGCCTCGAACAAGTCCGCCTCCAGCTCGCAGTCGAACAGGCACTTGCCGAGGTCGTCGTCGAAGCTCTTGGCGCCGCTGAAGATGTGGCCCAGGTTCTTCAGCGCCCACTGATAGAGGTGCCACACACAGAGCCGGTGGGCGGCGTAGGGGAGCTCCGCCGCCGCCGCGGCCGCGATTGCCTCACCCTCGTCGGTGAGGAGGGTGACCGGCATCCTCCCCCCCATGGCCTCCAGCAGGGTCCTGAAGACCCACCTGAAGGAGTCAACGGTCTCGTCGTACAGCAGGGCGACCCCGAAGACGGTCAGCTGCTTGTGGTGGTTGACCCCCAGGAACAGCGCCAGCGGCCGCCCGTAGTCGTTCATCTTGTAGGTGGTGTCGAAGCAGATGACGTCCCCAAAATGGTTGAAGTCAACCCTCATCCTCCGATCAGCCCAGAAGATGTTAGTGATCTGCTCCTCCACGTCAAACTGGAACGAATAGAACAGAAACGGGTCCTGCGCCTGCTTGTTCCTGAAGTACTCCAGCAGCCCATGGCCGTCAAACTTCTGCAGCCCCGTCATCCTCCTTGTCGGCAAGTAATTCCGGCAGTCCACCTGCAGCTGCTGCATCATCCCATCATCATTGCTGTCCACCGCCTGCTGGCTCATGCTCTGGGACATGGCTGCCGCCTCCATCCCCAACCCCTCGCTGTCGCCGCCGCCATCGTCTGCTGCCCCCGCCACTGGGTCCTTCTTCCTCCTCTTCCTCTTTCCAGATGCTGAGCCCTGGGCGCCACCACTGCCCAACCGGGGCCTCTGCGACCGCAGCATGTGCACGTAGTGCGGGGTGGCGAGCTCGTGATTGTGGGCCGTGTTGCAGTCGGAGATGTGGAATCTGTCATCGGCCGCCAGCTTGATCTTCATGAAGGCCGGGCAGCCACACCTCGTGTCCTCCCGGTGGTACTTGGCGAACAGGTCCCGGATCTTCCCGTCTCCACGGTAGCCCTGCTTGCTGCACACGAACAGCCTTGCAATCGTCAAGCCCGTCTTCCTGCTCACAGTCTTGCAGTCCCACCGGACGCTGAACCCGACCTTCCTCGCATATTGGTTGTAGTACTCAAAGGCAGCCCTCTCGGAGTCAAAGGCCATGCCAACAGCCGGGTCGGGGATGGCATGGTTCCGGTTTCCCCGATCAGATGCATCTGTCTGAGGCAGCGAGCCATTGGCAGATCCTCTGTCCAGCAGCGTATTGTATCCTACCATGGAGTCATCGATGACAGTCTCCTTGGCGAAATCAGCCCGATGGTCCACACCGCTCCCCAGATGAGAAACTTCGTGTAATTGCTCAGTACCCTCCATTGGATTGGTCTTCAATGCAACTAGCGAGAATCTAAGAGGGGGGGAAGAAGAGAAGAAATGATGCAAAAACAACATGCGGCAAAGAATCTCATGCATAGAATTTAACATCAGATTTTTTTTCTTTATATAAGCATTGCAGGCAGTTTAATTTAATTATCAGAAGGAATTAAACAAAGGGCAATCATCAGAAGGATACCATCAGCGAGCATAGTGGGCAGAGTATGTGTATTTTATCACAAGCGTCAAAAAGCCAACGGCAAACTGAATTAATTCCAAGCTATCATGAAAAAATAAATTGAACGCAGGATAGTGGAAAATAAGCTGGGACTGGGAGCTACTCTCCTATATGAACTACACTGCAACCCAGGACTCGGAGACCAAGAGCTTACCATCTTCGGTCTAGTTTCTGCAGTTACAAGGGACTGAGACCCTTGCTTGTTCTAAACATAGCTTTTTATCTACTGCAAAGTATCGAATATCAGTGAGCAAGAGTGTCGTCTACATGACTGCACCAACAGCCTCCTTTGACAACTATAATGCGCTTCTTGAACGCTCTCATCCTTGAATGAGTTCATCTACGTCATCATTTGGAATAAATAAATGAATTTATGAGAAAATAGACAACAAAACATCGACAGATATTTAGAAAATGTATCTTGCTCCTGTTCGAAATGTATATGATAGATAGTTATGTGTGCAGGTTTCTGTATATCTGAAGTGCGAGCCCTTCACATGCCTTGCTCGATCAAGTTTGACCATGAGGAATTGGTGTCAAGAGGCTAACAGTCTCCTGCAATTTATGTAGTTGATATTTGGGAACTGCAATGGAGATTCAGGGGATAGCTGCAATGGAGGATTCCAGAGATGTTCATGGTGAAGCTGGGGTAGGCAAGGGGCTAGCCGGGGAGGACGACGCATCATAACATGCATTCCAGGTGTTCCATAAAATGTCCCGGACCAGCATCACAATCCTCACCACGTTGATCCAAACCCTCGACCCCAACGCAAAGTATTTTGAATATTTAATTTCTCAGAAGATAGAGAATTTTCTCGCACAAAATTAAAGAGGGAAAGGTACCAGAAATGGCGACGGATTTCCGTAGTAGAACCAAGGGCATGCCGTGGTTCGTCCCCGCGGAGACCATGAGAGTGGTTCGCGACCAGGCTAATCAGTGGACAGAGAAGCCATGACTGAGACCGCCACATTGCTCGGAATCTCCCATCGTCGCCGACACCTACCCCATCGAAGATGGAAAAATTCAGTACATGAGCACAGATAGCGAACGGAGATGAGCGCCCTCGAGTGGCATCGCCCAAAATCCCTTCGTACCCCGCACTCCCCGAAAAATTGGGGAGCAGAGCGGGTTCCGCTGTTCGGTCCAAAAAAACGCAACACACTGATACAAGAATAAGCACAGACGAAGTGATAAAAAGTGACGGCGAAGAAGAGGAAGAAGAAACATATCCCCAGGAAAGGCGGAAGAAGAGGGTGAAGAAGAAGAAGCTCGAGAGTACACACTGTGGAACGGAGGAAGAGAGGGAAACCTTTTCATGCCTGACGAGGACGAGGGGAAGCTGTCGCACGAGGGGGCCAGGAGGAGGAGCCCGGTGTGAGGCGCTGAGCACCGTGCTCCGACGAGGAAACCCTAGCGGATCCGCCACGGTGTGTTCCACGGACGGATGGGCGTCGTGATGCGGTGCGCTAGTTATGTCCGTCAACAGCGACTCCCCACAGACTCGCCCGCTTCCACTCGGTCACTGTCCTAAAGAAACTCGGCTGGCGACTCGGCCGAGCCATGGGACGATCCAATAACTTGGACTAATTTTTATAAATAATATAAGTCCCCTGAATTTTCCACGAAGGCCTCATGTACATAAAATCGGCGCCATAAAATAGGTTTATTAATTCATATTATTATTTAAAAAATGGATTTAATATAATCTACATTTTATTGTACTTATTTCGAGTTCAAGCTGCTACCGTAGTTAAGATAATATAATATTTATATCAAATATGAGATCAAGATCACAAGTCAACGCTAGACCCACATGGGTAGTCGCTCATTTTTGATAAATTTAAAGCAAATTGCTGATGAAAATTACCCTAGTAATTTTTCATTGACCTAATTTCATTAAAATGCTCTCTCTCTCTCTCTCTCTCTCTCTCTCTCTCTCTCTCTCTCTCTCTCTCTCTCTCTCTCTCTCTCTCTCTCTCTATGTATATATATATATATGAAACAGAGCTAAGATCCATGAAGTCAACATCACAGGGGCAAGATCAAATATTGCAGCATGTCAACTGGGTCATTAGATTGGTCCCAATAAAATAAAGAAAAAGAAGGTCAACCCGTACAAAATAGATTCAAACATCTTTTGAGACCAAAATCTTGGAGGGGAGAAAGAAAAATAAAATCTAAAGAGCCTGACCAAGAACCATGATCAGAAAATAAAATCAGTCAACGACTTGAATGGTGAATAAATGGAGACCGAGCAGGGAGGGGGGACCCACATTCAAGACTCCCTAGACATAAATAGAATAATATCGAAACCTATAAAAAGACATTTGAGGGTATGGGACGATTTTTATTTTATTTTTACATCAGATTGAAGAGAGAGAAGAGATCCTACGGTCACTGGAAGATGCTGCTCACGGAGCAGTCATCGTGAACGCGCCAGATGGTCTCCCCAAGAAGGTTGGCCACGGAGAGGACGGTCAACTGGGGGAAGTAGTTCTCCTCGGACACCGGAATGGTGTTGGTGATGATCACCTCCTGGAAGAGGCCGCTGGACAGCCGTTCGATAGCCGGGGGGCTGCCAGAGGAAGCAAAAGGGAGCAGAAAGGTTTATGGTCAACGGCCGGATACTGAAAACGAGGAAAAAGAATTTTTTTTTTTTTCCATCTTGCAAGCGACTGAAAACTCTTGGAAAAAAAGAAAAAATTAGAAATTACTATTTATTTCTTCAGAATATATACATATGACGAATAAAAAAATAAATGAATGATCATGATATGGGATTGGCTCTGTTAATCCCCATGAAAAAAAACCAAGATTGAACAATATTTCATAAGAAATCACTGATGTAATCAAAAATTAAGATATAATAAATCACTGATGCAGTGAAAAGGCTGGCTTTTCTGCATTTTTCATAGCTGATGCTATGAAAAATCAATGTATCATACATATTCTCCCCAAACTAATCTACATGTTTGCTCCCAAGATTAAATCATGATTCATGATCATGAAACTGGCAGGTGAAAAAAAATAATGAGGATATCACTGGGGAAGTGAAGGAATCCATCCATCAGATGCCACTTTACCTGAACACAGCGTGAGTGCTGCATGCGTAGACTTCCCTTGCTCCTTCTTGATGCAACAGGGCTGCACCCTTGGCAATTGTTCCTGACCCACCAACAAGAAGACGTTGACTTTTCAATAGAAACTCAAAGTCAAAAATGGCAACCAATACACCATGAAGACGAAGATCATATCCATATCGAATAAAATGCAAGATATGACATTCACCCAGCCGAATGGATCAAGATAAATATAAACACCCATTAAACTTCAACTTTAAAGCAGTATAATTCCTCGAATCAGATATAAAAGTTCACCTGCTGTGTCAATCATATCATCCAACATAACGGCCACCTTCCCCTTCACATCCCCTATAAGATTCATGACCTGCACGAGCAGAATATATTACATGGTGTGAATCCACAACCAAGATATAGAAATATAATACACATAAGTACTAAATAACACAACATATTTATCTCTTTAATAAATTGACCACTCCATGGTGTCAACTGTATTTGAAACCAGATGACTTTCAATCAGACCAATTTCGATGTCAAAAATTAAATTCCCGTCATCATCTTGGTCTGGTTCCAGGGTATGTCTAATAAAACGGAAAAAGGGCATGCAATGTTCTCTAGAAAAAATTGTGGAGTTATCACTGCCTGAGACAGGTCCTGGGCGTCTTCTTCGGGAAGCAGGAGAAAATTATACTTCAATTTTATATCCACTATTGCATAGTTAGGAAAGTAAATAATTCATTGAAAATGAACTAAATCATATGAATTCGTGCTTTAATATTAAAGCCCAACCTCAGCAACATTGTGACCATGGCGTCGTTTATCCACAATAGCCAGTGGCGCATCAGATAGCTTTTTGGCAAAGGCTCTAGCTCTTGCAACGCCCCCAACATCCGGTGAGACCACTACCAGCTCATCTGAACAAATAGTCTTGCTCGCCAGGTAATCAAGTATCACGGGCTGCAGGAATATAGAGAGAATTACGATCATGGTGACTAAAAACCGAAAAACAAGAGAGCGAACACGAGAAAGTCAACGCATTCTCCTTTTTCATGCATTAAAAAAAATATACAAAAACAGACCCAAATCAGTAAAAGGTAATTAATTACCTGTCCATAGACGTGGTCCACTGGAATATCAAAATATCCCATGGACTGTCCAGAATGGAGATCGCAAGCGAGTACACGATTTGCACCAGCTTCAGTAATCAAGTTTGCCACAAGTTTCGCAGCAATAGATTCCCGCCCTTGAGTCTAAAAGAAAGAAATTCATGGTGACATCATGAGCAAATGAACACATTCGAGGATAGCTTTTTGAAATTCAACATTTTCAGTTGGCAAGCACAAGCTACGGAGGAATAATAATCAAGGGAAGAGAGTACGGCACAAGATACAGAGGAATAATAAATTGAGAATAAACTGATGATATCTATCATAAAAAAGGCCAGGATTTCCATATTAGTCACCCGGCAAGTCAACGTTGGAGATAATTCTAAACCCTGCCTATTACCTTCACAAGGGTCAACTATCCTGCTGATGAGATATTCAACTCCACAACGCCAGCAGCATTTCATAAACAATAACACTACCCCAGCCTCTCTAGGTGAAGAGGAAACAGAAAAAAAGACCAACCACAACCTTATACAGCATTGTCACAAGGGCAACAGAGTGGACCAGTGATGAAGAATGGTACGCTGCCCTGCTTTCATGCCGTCAAATTTATTTTTATTTTTTGGCTTAGTAGAAATAGAGGAAAACATAGAGCATTTAGCATGTCGAATCCCGACCGTTCATTATGTTCACAGAAACAGACAAAGCGCCCATGAGACACGTTGTAGAGAGAAGAAAAGGTTGAGGGAATTTGGATATATTTTGGGAAGAGGGATAATCAATGCTTCCTGAACTCGGGCTCATCAGAAATCTATTAGTAAAAGTGGAAGAAACAGTGACAGCTCAAGCACAATCCAATATAAATATGTTCAATTAATACTTCTGGCACCAGACGACCTGAGGTGTAGTGGGCCTCCAGATATTCCCATTCATAGGTAAATAGGAGTATTCTCAAGGAATCCAGAAAGTGTTCACGCCGAAATTAGGGTGAATAAGAGCCACTTTCCACAAGGTGATTTTGCCAAATAGCACACCATGAAAGTTGATAGTGAAGCAGCAAGGCAGTATGCCACTACGTCACTCTACTTGGTCACCTTGACGCCTTACACTATAGATGATATCATATTTACAAAATCATCAGACAAACCCTCCATCACCGAAGAAATCAAACTGGTTTATTCCATTAGAAGAGAATTAATTACCTTCCTGTCAGCCCTAGCATAACCAAAGTATGGAATAACAGCTGTAATATTCTTGGCAGATGCTCTGCGACACGCATCAATCATTATCAGAAGCTCCATGAGATTCTCATTTGCTGGCGGACATGTCGGCTGAACAAGGAAAACATCACATCCTCTTACACTTTCTTGCAGCTGAACATAGATCTCACCATCTGCAAACCTTTTTATATTGATTTTCCCAAGGTTCAAACCCAGGTAGCATGCGATTTCCTGCAGAAAAACAATGAAACTAGTCAAATTACATCACTTTCAAAGACTAAAAATTTCTTGGATTCAAAATAGAAAAAAAAGGGCTTTGGGGCAACATAACTTGTGAAAGATATCTATTAACCTTTTGCTTACAATACATGTAACAGATATATAACGTATGCATGGAATCAAAAATTTCTGATGCATCATGGATACACAGCTGGTGAATGAAAATTTCTGAGAAAAACAACTAACAACATGCCAAAAAAGTTATGACGATAAGTTGGACTGTTTCTCCAGCATGAAAAGAAACCACAGGTTCATCAGAAAAGGAAAAAAAAAAAAGAGGATAATTATGGAAAGGCCGATTAAAGATTCTAATTGAAGAACAGCATCTCGATATCAGTCAAAACCAAGAACAAAAATGAAACCAAACGCTGGCTAATGTTACAGAAAAAAATATATTCGAGACAATAAGGCCACCTGATAACTGTAAAGCTCTTGCATACCTCAACCGAGACCATTACATTGAACCAGAAATTACCTGAGCAAGTACAGGATTGGCGGTGCCAGAGAAGATTCGTAGCCTCTTGTCACTACCACCTTCCGCACCTTGCAGCTGCCTGGGGGTCAGCAGACCTGGTATCATCCGATCATTAAGAATGGGAATGCATGGCGGAGCTCCATTAGAAAACTTCAGGGGCTCGACCAATTGACATTTCTGCACCAAGGACAACACATTAAGGGCTACTTGATTTAAGAGTGTCTTTCTCACCTTCGTCCCAATAGAAATTGCTACTACGAAATCTAACGCGGCCTTGCATCTCAGAAAAATAGTAATAATAATATATATATATAAAAAAAAGGAAATCCATTCGAGGAGCGGCGAGGGCAGTATCAGAGAAAAAGCAGAAGAAAAGGCAGGAAAAAAAAACTTACCACACCATGCCGAGCAGCGGAAACCACCCGGCGGGTGTTCTCCGGGAACCCACCACATCTCCCGGAGAGAAGAAGCCGACCGGAAGCCGCAGACGAGTACAACCGCGGAGATGATGAAGAAGACGGTGCAGATAGAGCCATTGACGAAACCCTTTATCCTCCTTCTAATCCCTCCACTTCTTATCCTTATCCTTCGCCTTCCCTCCCCACCTTCTACTCCCTTCTCGTCTCCACCCCTCCCCCCCGCCCCCCCTTATCCCCCCTCCCCTCCCTCCCGGATAACGAGAAAGAAGAGAGAGAGAGAGAGAGAGAGAGAGAGAGAGAGAGAGAGAGAGACAGACAGACAGACAGACAGACAGACAGAGAGACAGAGAGAGACCTAGAGCTTCGCCGGCATGCCGATGGGCGCTGCTCGCAGGCGGGCGGCGCTATTTGTGGGGGAGGCGGGGGAAGGGAGGTGGCCGGCGGCGGGCGGCTACACGAGAGAGTCGACGATACGTGGAGGACTCCTCAGCGATAATTCGGGACGTAAAGAAACTCAGAGGCGGCCCAAATGAGGCAATTGGGCCCCATTCCATCATCATCGCCGCGACACGGTCCGCCGTGTGGGCCCCACTCCCTCTCCATCGACGCCGGCGGTGCCTGGGCCCACCCGCAGGGGATGAGGAGGGACCCAGCCCACTCTTGACTGAAAAGTCCCGGGCTCCTCGTCAACTCTTGTGGGCAGCTTCCCTCGTCCACATACAAATAGAAAGGGAGAATCAATGAGAATCCAATATAACGGGAAATTCAATATGTATGTAGTGGCTGTGATGAAGAGGTTAGAAGTGGTAGAATCTTCAGGAAATAGGAGTCCACGTCATGATGTGATCTTAAAACAGTAATGTAAGGGTCATGGAAGTCAAGAGTCTGATCCACATGTTTAAATAATTGGTCTAAATTCGGCAAGGAATCAGTCAAAATTGGGTCACATATTGGACAAAACCAACCAATTCATGTGCACATTGAACATAAGTAGTATGACCCGATTAATGTAAACAAGTTGTAGTTGTTAGAACTTGACTCATAGATTGAATTCAGTCTTTTTCTAAAATTATCAATAAATCAAATGAATTGGGTTATTATTAGATTGATCGAAATCTTGGAGCCCACGTTGATTAATATGTGTTCATCGTTGAGCTGGTCAATGTAGAGGAGTAGAGGTCATGGTTGTTAGGACTGAATGTTGTCAATGAATTAGTAGCCAACCAATTATGTGATCTTTCAACTGAAGACATTTAGGCAGTCAATCTAGAAAAGTCATGGTTGTTGGATCAGATTGGGCTTAATTTTGTCGTCCTTATTGACTTGACTACTTGTGTGTTTGCAAAGCTAAGCTTGTAGAGTCAATGAGCATAAAGAAGTCAAAGGCGTGGTAGTTGGGATGGATAGACAAGTTACAGTACTAATAATATATATTGTCAACAAATCAGCCAAATTTAAGCATATCCATTAATATTTGGCCACCTTAATTGAGAATGATTGAACATAAAAAGTGGGAATCGATTGGAAGGTTGATATGTGAGATGGAACAAGTAAATACTAAGCTAGTTTAAGATGTAAGGAAATAAACCTTTTTGAACTATAAATATAATAATAAGTGCCCACATGAATCAAGGAAAAAGTCAATATCAATCTAGGAGAGGACTATATGTTAACCATTTATTAACAACAAGCACTATGAAGTTAGTATAACCAAAAATCAAAGAGATGTCAATTAGATTGAGTGAATTTGTGACAATGGTTTTGGTTTTATATTTACCAAAAATACGATTAGTATGATTTTATCAACACGTCTAGAGAGGTATAATGATCATAAGAAATAAATATATTAATCTATGCAAAAGGTTCCACAGCATGGTTGATGGAGACTGTGAGACTTTTTTGTTTTTTTTTTCTATTTTTTTCCCCTTTTTCCTACATCACATTCATCTTTTAGCTGAAAGGTAGCGCATTGTTTAGAAGTCTAGCTAGGCCCATCACTTATTATTCTCATTATTTTATGAGTATGGAAGGGAAATCAGCCAAGTCTGGATATGATAGCTTAGTGTGTGGACAAGCTGAGGCTGGGGCTCCAAACATGTGTCGTTAGCCATAGCCATAGGTATAGATGCTTGCCGAAATGGAGCCCTCTGTGTGGTATCTCATTTGCGAGCTCTAGTCTTCCTCCCTCTGTAAGTTACTCGTCTCTCCCTTGCATGCACTGTGCCGGTTCTCTCTCGCTCTAAATAATGCTGGAGTGAGAGAGGCCCAATGTACCGATGCAGATGAATATGGTTATACTTCCAAGGTTTCTCTGATGGAAGTTCGGGGGATTGCCGTACGATTTCTTCTTCGAGAAATCCCCGCTCAGTATGAAGCTCTCTCTCTCTTTCTCTCTCTCTCTCGCTCGCTCGCTCCGGTAATGAGAAGGGCGATCTTGGTTGGGGAGTCGTCATAGGTGATATAAGACGACGCGGCTTCCAGCACCGCGGCGACGATGACTTTACAGCACTGGGTCTTGAGGCTGATACTGTAGGGAGGGAAGAGACGGGCGACCCAGAGGCCGGAGCTCAGGAGGGACTTCCAAGTCGGAGAAGGGAGAAAGGTAGGGAAGGAGGGGGAGAGAGAGAGAGTAACCACGACCTGAAACGGCGAGCATATGAATCCGTTATTCGAGCCGCCTCTCATTTTTCAGCGGCTGATCAAGCCCATGAAACGGTGATCAAGGAAATCCTACTAATGAAGTAACATGTTTACTTAAGAAGAAGATAGGTTTTACATTAGCATTTGTGGAACCGTTTCCCAACAAATAATTTATAAAATCCTCAATCTAAATGACCTAATCACATTTTTAGTTCATTTTTCACGATCAATCTACACTTTTAATCGCAAAAAATTAGTTATTTTTGTGTTTTAATCAACCAAGTCTTTTCTTCTATAATCTACGTTTTGTCAGCAGCATCTCTCTCTCTCTCTCTCTCTCTCTCTCTCTCTCTCTCTATGATTATCTTCATAATGAGCTACAATCATCTGAGCATGTATACATAGATAATCAGATTAGTTTATCAAGATATTCATGAACACCCGCAGCGAGCATGCATTATCGCCGCACAGTCAGGGCCCGTCGGGGGTTCCCGTGTTACTGCTCGGTTCGGAGGGACTAAAAGCTTAGAAAGCGTTCCACAGGGAAAGGAATTTCTACTTGAAGAAGATATGAAGCTCTTTCTCCGGCGACGACGAGGGTCAGCTTGAGTTCAGCTGAAGGGGCGGCAGACAGAAGACCCGTTGACAGGGAGAGTGAGAGTGAGCGAGAGAGAGTCACTGGACAGTGAGAGATAGCTCTTCAGTGATTCCGTGTTACACCACCACGCCCATGCAGACTGTGGAGTAATCCCAAGAAAAGCCGTGATTCCATCACCATCTAACGCTCAAAACTAAAGGACTCCCTCTCTGAAGATTACTTCAGGAAGAAGCTCAGTCGGAGGGAGGGCCGGGGACCGGCGAGGCGCAGAAGGACTTGACCATCCCGGGGAAGACGGAGCCGAAGACGGGGACGGCGAATATCTCGGAGAAGCAGCGCTCGCTCAGCCCATCGATGGCATCGCAGCAACCGGCCGTTAGGTCGATCTTCCCGCTGATCAGAGACCCAAGAAGGCCGGTGACGCAGTCCGCTGCGCCAAGCAGAGACTTGACGCACTGCAGGAGATCGGGGTCGGTGGCGCCGCCGCCGCCGAAGATGGGGGGGAGGATGGGAAGCCCCGGCAGGCCCAGCTGCTGCGCCGCGGCGGCGGCAGTGGTGGGGGCCGGCGCAGGAGCAGAAGTCCGGCCGGCATGGGAGACGGTGCACGTCGCGGCCGTGCAGGCCAGGAGCAGCGCCACCACCCCCACGAGCTTGCTTCCCCTCATCGTCGTGATGCTCACTTGCAGAAGCTTTGATGTTGCTCGGATGGAGGAGGAAGCTCTGGTGTTGGGAGCTTACGGCCATGGGGATCTATATATAGAGCATCGATGGACTCAGGAAGCAGTCGAACGCCGGGCGAAGCACATCCTCAGGAATTAAGACGATGGGAAGACGGGGTCTTCCAACGGCAATGTATGACCCCTACATGTACGCAGTGTATGATCTTAAGGATCCTTTCGGCATTTTAACCGTTCACTTAAATGTCCAGGAAACGGCCGTTAGGTTTCATCGGCCATGGAAGCCGTAGGGCCGTCGACCATTATTTCCCGTTTAATCTGATTAATCCGATCCTCCGCAGAGTCTGACCGTTTTCGGAGGTTTCGAGGCGTCCCAATCGCCACAATGCCCTCGTCTCCCGTCGCCTTAAATCCTGAGTCCACCGATGCTCTATATATAGATTCCCATGGCCGGGAGCTTCCTCCACCATCCGAGCAAGATCTTCTTCTGCAAGAGGGCTATATTGACGGGAAAAGAGCAACATCAGAGCTTCTGCAAGTGAGCATCACGATGATGACGGGAAGCAAGTTCGTGGGGGTGGTGGCGCTGCTCCTGGCCTGCACGGCCGCGACGTGCACCGTCTCCCACGCCGGCCGGACTTCTGCTCCTGCGCCGGCCCCCACCACTGCCGCCGCCGCGGCGCAGCAGCTGGGCCTGCCGGGGCTTCCCATCCTCCCCCCCATCTTCGGCGGCGGCGGCGCCACCGACCCCGATCTCCTGCAGTGCGTCAAGTCTCTGCTTGGCGCAGCGGACTGCGTCACCGGCCTTCTTGGGTCTCTGATCAGCGGGAAGATCGACCTAACGGCCGGTTGCTGCGATGCCATCGATGGGCTGAGCGAGCGCTGCTTCTCCGAGATATTCGCCGTCCCCGTCTTCGGCTCCGTCTTCCCCGGGATGGTCAAGTCCTTCTGCGCCTCGCCGGTCCCCAGCCCTCCCTTCGCCTGAGCTTCTTCCTGAGGTCATTAGTTTTGAGCGTTAGATGGTGTGATGGAATCGTGGCGGGGACTGCCGACTCTCTTTTGTGCGTCACTTGGATAACTCCGCATTCTTCATGGGCGTGGTTAACACGGAATCACTAGAGAACTTCCTTTTCCTATCCAGTGACTCTCTCTCTCTCTCTCTCGGACCCCCTCTGGACTGGTCGCTTCTCTCTCTCTCTCTCTCTCTCTCTCTCGGACCTCCTCTGGACTCGTCGCTCCTCTCTCTCTCTCTCTCTCTCTCGGACCTCCTCTGGACTAGTCGCTCCTCTCTCCCTCTCGCTCTCTCGGACCTCCTCTGGACTAGTCGCTCCTCTCTCCCTCTCTCTCTCGGACCTCCTCTGGACTAGTCGCTCCTCTCTCTATCTATCTCTGCTCGACGTTCGTACCTTCATCATGAATGAGGGTGAAAGCCCGGCCCGTTTGGGACTCAAAGATACAAATTTTGTAACTTTATTCTAATTAAAAAGTATAGATATGTATAAAAATTAATATGATCGTTATTTTTAATTTCACATAATATTATAAATAAGATTCTAATATATATGATAAATACATGAATAAGAAAAAATAGTAATACATCTTAGCCCAATCCATTCGTACTGTTTCTGGCTTCAAGACGCTGAATAAAAAGCCCGGCCTGCTTTGGCACTCGAAGATATCAATTCTCTAATATTATTATAATTTAACATTATATACATATTATATATATCTATTCAATATCATAGTTACCTTATAATTATATATTATACAAACATTAAATAATATCAATATATTTAAGCCGATCCATTCATAGAGCGGTAATCTTTCTGGGCGGAGTGAATTGCTGACATCATGGGCCCAAAGACGACCCATTAAAGAAAACTAGACTCAATCCCACTGAGCCCTAATCGGGCAGGCCCATTATCGTTCCCCACAGAGAAACAAGCCTGCTGCAGATCAATAGCCTATCCCCGGTGAGAGAACAAGGCGGCGATGAGCGGCGGCGCCGCCGCCAAGAATGGAGACGATGACCCCCCGCTAGGCCGTAGAGAACTCCTTCGCCGATGCAATGGAGCGGCTCCTCCGGCCACCGGCGGCCGCCTGAGCCGTCCTTCTCAGCTCCTCCAAGCCCTCCCTGATTAATCCATGCTCTCTCCTCAGAATCTCCAAATCCGTCTTCATCCAGAGCGGAATGCCCTTCTCCTCCGCCGCCGCCGCCGCTGCCGCTGGCTGGCCTTCTCCATTCACCGAGCTCTCGACGCTGATCTTGTCCACCGCCAGAGACGGCAGCCGCAGGCCGGAGAAGGTAAACCCTCCCTCCGCCGCCGCCGGTAGGCTTACTGCCCACCGGAGCCTCACCGCCGCCCCCCTCGCCACTGGCAGGGTCGTCCGCACGGCCACAGTCGTCCCGGCGATGAGATCCCACTCTGCCGCCGCCACCGCCGCCACCGGCCGCCGGTGACCGTCGGTCTCCACCGGCATGGGCCTGTAGAGGCCGCCACCATTTTCCTTGGGGAAGGGATTAGGGTTTTGGGCGGCGGCGGATAGGGGGCCTCCGGCGGAGCGTTTTAGAGAAAAGTCCCCGAGAGATGGGCGTATCTGGATGGAGAAGGAGAGGGCCGCCGGTGCGGCGGCGGAGGAGGAAAGTGGGAGGTGGGCGGAGACGATGAGGGGGGACTGCTCCGGCGAGCCCCAGAGGCCAACACCGGAACTGAGGGTGATGGAGAAAGGGGTCTTTGCTGGAGGAGGGTCGGGGAGGAAAGTGAAGCGGAGAGAGGGGCCGCCGGAGAAGGCGGTGCGGAGCTGGAAGGATAGATCGCCGGGATCTCCTCCGGTGGAGGCGGCGGCGACGAAGGGGAATCCGAGCACGGCGACGGGGACCTTCGCCCGGAAGAGGGGAGTTGCCCGGCGTTCCTGCCGGATCTTGGCGGAGGCCTTCATCGTCCCTCCGGCGAGCCGCCGGCGGGAATTTCTCCGGCGGAAGTTCGCCGGCGACTGGTTCCGCCTGAAGCTTCCAGCTCCGGCGGGGTCTTGATCGGGAAAGAAGGCTGATTAGGTCTTTATAGTCACTTTTTAAAAAAATAAATGTAATAAGTTATGATATTTACCTCCTCGTAAATATGTTAAATTACTAATAATACCCTGTTATTTTAACTCTAATCTTTAGTTCCTCATATGTTTTTACCGCCCCTACGTATATATAGTTAATGTCCTCCTAATGTAACTTTATTGTCCAAAATCAATCATGAAATGGCTAAAGTACCCTTGAGCCACTTCTCTCTCTTTTTCTCTCTCTTTCTCTCTCTCTCTCTCTCTAGAAGAGCGAAAGAGAGAGAGTGGGATGGTTTACTTATTTTATTTATTTACATATTAATCGCATTAAATTTAGGATTTAATTGCTCCACAGTCTAAAATAAAAATAATAATATCGAGAGAGGCGGAAATACTAAATAAATTATCTATGGTCTCATCAACAGTTCAGATAATTTGTGAGGTCTAAAACGAAATAATCCCTGAATCTATTTCAACGTTCCCATAAGGAAAAAGTCTACGAATACTTTTTGAGTAAAAATCAAAATAAATATTTCTAGGAGGTATAAAAATTCTCAGAACCAGCCGTGATAAATGGGCAAGGAAAAAAAGACCAGCTTGCTCGTCTCTCTCCCTCAAACCCATCGCCATTGCTTCCTCGCTGCTGCCGCTCGCAGAGGCGTTCGTTCTCCGGTAAGAACATGGACCGCTCTCCCCCCCCCCCTCCTCCCGCGAGGAGGGTTTTGAAGCATCTGAGTCTCCCTCCTCCCCAATTGATGGATCTCGAGCGTTACCGAAGTTTCTCCTCCGATCGTTGTACTCCCCCCCCCCCCATCTCGGACAGATCAAGGGATCGTGTGGATTTCTTGTGGGCTTCTGGGTTTCTGGATGTCTGACTTTTATTTTATTTTTTTTTATTTTTCTCAGATGGATTGGCAGGGGCAGAAGCTGTCGGAGATGTTGATGCAGGTTATGCTTGTGGCATTTGCTGTCGGGGCCTTTGGCACGGGCTACGCCCTCGGTTCTTTCCAGACGATGCTTCTGGTGTACGCCGGAGGCGTCGTCCTCACGACGCTGGTGACCGTCCCTAACTGGCCTTTCTACAATCGTCACCCTCTCAAGTGGCTGGATCCGGCCGAAGCCGAGCGCCACCCGAGGCCAAAGCCGCAGCCGGCTGCCCCCTCGAAGAAGAAACCAGTGAAGAGCCACCAGAAGTAGGTCCGCTCATTGACTTCTACACATGTCTACCACTTCTCCTTATTTCCTAATTTAGCAGATTGGGGGACGATCTACCATGCAATTTTCTTGTTTACTGTTCTGTGGATGCTCTCTTCGGTGTGTTTTTACTGCGATCTTCAGTATCCGACGCATTCTTTTGATCTGTCCCAAGTAGACAGCAACTTCATTCATGGTGTCAGACCGGTCAACCATGATAATTAGCAGAATAATCTCATGAATAAGGGGGGCAATCATGGTTTTATTTGTATCATGGGCTCCCCTTTAAAAAAAAAAGGAAAGAGGGAATTTTTTAATTTTTATTTTCTCACAATTTCGTTCATGGGGGAAGTGGAAGAACATCTTCTGCGCAAATAGAGACAGCTGATTAGTCCTCTGATACAACATTCCACCTCCTTCTGAAGGGAAATTTTTAGGGCTTTACTGGTTTTATTTCTTTTTCAAGAAATGCCCAGAGCGTGTGATCTGATTTGGTAGGTCTCTGCCACCACAGTCAACGGAAACTCCACTTCATTGCTCCATTTGCCTTCATTCTCTTAGCAAACCCATGAGCAGAAGCCTTTCTCTCTCACGAGAGAACCGGTGCCTGCCCAGCCCATCTTTGGCACCCCCTCTTCGGTTAATGAAAAATATTGCAGAAAATGAGTTCATATGCCGAGATCTTGCCCATCTGCCTCGGCATTTATAAAACCCAGAAAGATGAACACATCCAGCATGGTTCTCTGCTATCATAAGTCTAAGTGAGTAGAAAAAAGTCAATGCTGGAATATCACCATCTTTCAAATAGAGTGGCCCCCTTCACTGAGATCAGAAGCTGTGGTTATCCTAGGTTGACTTGTCTTGGACCTCCTTGACAGTATTTGACCTTCAGTACCATGATCGGAGTCTGATGATCATTTCTGTTAGCAGGGGGGCATAAAGAACAGTGTTCTATGTTTGAACCTCTGCATTTCTGCACAGCTTGCTCCTGTCTCTGCTGTGTCGTGAGCTGGACACGGGCCTTCATCATGCTCCCTTTTAATGATTATTCTTTCCCAGAACTAAAGATGAAGAGCTGCATTATCTCTCTGCAGAGAGCTTGACCTAATCAAGGAACAGAAGAAGAAGAAAAACTCTCATTTCTCCAATCATATGCGAACCTACCCAGTCAAAAAAAAGATGTTGGGTCGCATGTTTCCGAACCCACACTCCATGGCATTTGGCCGAGGTGTCTCCATTATCACACCCTTGCTGGGGAGATCAAGGGACCATACACTTAGTGGAAGTCAACATCATGAAGAGAGAGAGAGAGAGACCAAGGGATCTTATATTTTTGAGCCATAGACCACCTTCCAGCCTTCCAGCATGTCCTGGGACCTACAGCCTTCCATTCGCCCTGGTATTTTTGAGATGTAGAGAGAGGGAGAGAGAGAGAGAGAGATTCTGTTAGCTTTCTGGTGTTGACGGTAAGTGACACATGTGTGCAATGGTCAGAAGACATTACTTGGGAAAGTCAAATGGCACGAGAGTAATTCCGAGGGCTGTTGTTGATCCTAATGCAATAGAGGTGGGCATTCTGGCCATTTCTGCGGCAGGTAAGGGTGCTAGTGTCGGAGACCAAGAAGAAAAACCTTCCCAATGGAGGGATAAGACATGAAACAGGGCTCCTCTGTATACTCGGCACAGAGATCATCCTTGAATGAGGGTGACTGTCACACATGTAAACTCATATATCGTTTGATGGGTACAGTTTCCCTGCTTCTTTATCCGAGGCTTTTGCAGTGGGAAAGGAGGAAGAAGGCAGCTCCTCAATCTTTCTCTCTAAATCTTGTGGCTTGTTCTAGGAGTTTTTTTTTGCTCCAAGAGTTGACCATACTCTGATCCGTACTGGGTATGAATGAAGTCAAAGGCCTGTGGTCAATGGCAGCTGGGTAGCTATGAGCTCTATCTGTAAGTGAACAGAGGAAGGGATCACGGAAAAATGAAGTAGCTGGGTTGTATATTCTGTGTGTGCGTGTTTGAATGTTACCCATCATGAAATTATATTATGTTGGTCGTTAATTACCTTAAAAAAAAGGAAAACCTTTTAATTTCCGGGGAAAATCTGAGATGTCCTGCGTTTAAAGGAAGAGAAGAGCGTAAAATACTGCTATTTACGGTATATTTTATGATTGCGATGAACTTGATAGGTGTATTGTAACATGGGCTCAGCCCGAGAGCGAGAGAGGAAAGCAAGAAAAGCGCCCTTTCGGGCTTCACAGCGGGCCCGAATACGATGAGAATTGGGTCGTCATGGCCCTAACTTTACCGGATCCACCATGAAGCCCGAAAAATCTAATATCATGGCTTTAAAAAGGTTCCCGCATCGATAATAATAGAATTAATATATTTATAATAGAATAATAACAAGGTTCCGAGGGAGATGAAAAAGCCGCAATAATGCCCACAAAATATTAAATTGGCTCGAGCAAAAAAGTTAATATATATATTTCCTACTTGGTAATGTGGGCGTCTGATGGATTCCGGAGGGTCAGAGATGGGAAGAAGATCTCGATCGCCTGTTTCCAGGAGCTTTTTGGCATTAGAAATCAATGGCGGCCTGCCGTTCCGTCGGCGCAACGCACTGCCACAGCGTGCGGTAGGCGGGAATGTCGGCCACCGCCACTCCGAGCTCTTGCAGGTTTCGCCCGTACTCCTGGATTAAGGAAATTAAATATAAAAGTCAACTGCTGTTCGAGAAACGACGATCTGACTTTTTTTTTTTTTTTAACATTTCCACATTGATGGCGTTGTTGTTGTTGTTGTTGAGAAAAAACATTCGGAGGAGATGAGAAAATCAAAAGCTTTCGAAATCTAAGATCCAAGAAAATTAATGCCCCCAAAGAAATTTGTGAACCAACTTTCATATCCATGATTCAATTTTGAAATACTTTTGATGAATTATGATCATAGAAAACATATCACAGACAAAAACATTATATTTAGGGGATCCATTCCGAGTGAGCAATGGGTGACGAAAGGTTACACAATTTTAAGATTTAGGTCCTTTTTTTTTACGTTATATTTAGGGTTTAGGATTTAGGGGTTTTTTATAAGGTTTAGGGTTTAAAGTTCTCTTTTAGGGTTAGGGTTTAGGATTTAGGGGTTTTTTTTAAGGTTTAGGGTTTAAAGTTCTCTTTTAGGGTTAGGGTTTAGGATTTAGGGTTTTCTTTCAGGGTTTTTTTTTTTTTTCTTTCTTTCTTCTTTCAGGGTTTAAGGTTTAGGATCAACCATGATTTCAATTACTCTAATTAGGGATAGGAAGACAGAAACATGGAAAATTAATACACCCGAATAAATCTGTGATCCAACTTTCACATCCATGAACCAGTTCAGAGATGTTTGGTCGTAGATGAATCATGATCATGAGAAAGATCCGACGAACAAAAGTACTTTACGAACGAGCAGTGGGTGATGAAGGTTTATACTCATTTAGGGTTTTGGGTTTGATTTTTTCTGCTATGTTTATATCAGTCCCCCCATGATATCAACGGATCTGTGTGCCCAGATTAAACCGACCGCGTACCTGAACATCAAGGAAGAACTGCATGCAGAGCTTGTCGGTGTTGGATATACTGTTGTCCGATGCATCTGAGCTCGTCCCTCCTCGTCGCTGGGCAGTTTGTCGGATTCTCTGTAGAGATGACTCTGTTTTCCTCACCTGTTATTAGGGTTTTTTCACGACCAGGGTAGAAAATTAGGGCAACAAGATCGAGGCAAGGAATGCTGCGTTGGTGTAATGAGGCCGGCCTGCTCACCGTATCAACCAGCTCCGACACCAAATCACAGTAGCGCGAGGTTAGACGGTTGGCGGTGTTGTGCAGCAGCTGAGCCTTTGACTCCGAAGTCAAATAGCCAATGCGCTCCCCATTTAGAAAAGCCTGCAGTCGGGTCCAGGTGGAAACTTCAAGATTGATACTATTTTCCAATACAAAAATATAGTTTTTTTTTTGGTAAGTTTAGTCAGAAGAGAGAGAAAAAAAAAAAAAAAAAAACTTGTTCCATTGTTAGTTAGGGATTGCTAAAAGGAGACCGTTCTTTCTTCCCAGGTCTCATCCTGGGAATATATTGTCGGCTAATAGTTACCTTCACGGGTCGCAGAAGGCCTGATACATATGGAGAGTGCCTCACTGGAGGACCTTTGATCGTCATCCTGTACGTTGCTGTTATGGCCTTCAGATGCTTTAACTCCTGCACGATAATTTCCAGATGAAGTCGCATGTTCTATCTAATTAGATGGGAAGAAGAGCGAGGTAAGGTGTAAATCGCGTCTTGAACAGGAATGACCCTGATTTCCACATCAAGGTGAGGTTTTGTAGGGCCAATGTAGGTTTCATGACCGAGCTTGGATTGCTAATACCAGGGAGGGGGAGGGGCTAATTACACGAATTTTCCACTAGGGTTTATCAAAATGACAAGAAAGAACACCTAGATTTGCATGGAATAACTGATATTAGATCGATATTCAATGGGATACAAGTTAATCACGAGATATGGCACTTGAATTTCTGTAGAAGATGAAATTTTATAAATGGGTCAAAGGGGCAACCATCATTCTATAATAACCATTGATGGACGTGAAATGGTGAACTAATGTTGAAACCCAAGCATTGAAAGATTTTGAACTATTGATGGAAAAACTTGAATCCTAAGGAGAAGATAGGAAATCAATTTGGGGAAGCAGAATTCACCAATTCTAGTAACAAATTCCTCTCCGAAAGGGCAAGCAATTTCGTTTCCTATAATAACTTTATCCGTGCCTCGTATCTCCATATTACCTTGCTGCCACACTCAATCCTGTGTCCCATCCCCATGCATGATTGGAAGAAGCCCATAGAAACAAGCAGGTGGTGGGAAATTTTTTAGCACGTAGGGGGGGAACAGCTACTTTGAAAGGAGATGGTCCGACACAATGTTTCGTGATACAGAACATTTAGATTACCCACAATTGATATAAACATGCAATATTATACGACTTTGGAAAATGAAGACACGATAAGAACGTTCTTCTACCTCAGCAGACTTCTCCACTATAGCTTCAATGATTGCATCAAGTAGAGAAGGTAACGAGTCTTCCAAGGATTTTCCACCCTGTAAGATGCTTTGCTTAACCGAGTCAAGTAGCTCGAGTGAACAAGATTGAAGCAGTTGCAGAATATTCCCCAGGAATTCGTTTTTGAGCTTGTCCAACAGACAATTTACATCGTGCATGACCTACAAATCCAAAGGTTATCATCCAGTTAGAATTTATATGTGGTATCACCAACTAATTTTCACAAGAGTTATTCGAGGCAAAGGTATGGCATTCAAATATTTTTCCCTAAAATCAAATTTACTAACTGGATTCTATCTTATATACATCTGGATAAGGTTCTATCGAAATAAAAACATAAAGTAGGAGCAAAAATGTTTTGAAACAGCCACATGATATGAATGTAATTATCACCAATTTATCATAAATGTCTTCTTCTATACTCATGGGATAAAGCACATAATCATATTGCAGACATGCCATTGTGTAGATATTACCCTTGTGGGTGCGAATGTTCTTCCCTCGAAATGGCTTCTATAAAAATCTATCCAACTATTAACTAAAGCAGCAGAATTCGGTCAAAAAGATTTTTTCCAGCAGTTTACAATGGTATCAAAGTGATCTAACCTTCAGACATTCATTTCGGCAGCAAAAATCTCGCTCTTGCCAGCATCATGTAGGAAAACTGATTTAGAAGAAGAAAGAAAACGGAGGATCCTGACTTAGCGTCAGGTACTTGTACAGCTGGAGGCAGAAAGTCATCATATGCCACCTCTGAACCATCTAACCTACGCAGGTGCCTTAGCCTGCAACTCTCATCCTTTAAACTCTGCAACTCGAATCACACCACTTGGTTTGCTGCTCGCACACTGCCACATTAGCAGCTCCCCTAAACATGCCATGCCCTAGATGACGAACGACCATATCCTTTTAGCTTAATATGTGGACCTTCAAGATGCAGTTGTCAAGGAACCCGAAACAACATCGAGTGGGATGGGTTTGTGCGAAGAGACATGCTCCCATGGATTGGTACCATGAAGCGGGGATGCATTGGGTAAAATCAAAGGGAAGGCATTCCTACCTTCAGCAGTGACACATCAAACAGCATATTGGCACTATCCTACTAGCTCTCGGCCAATACAATAAATCTTCTCCATTCCTTTTATGCCAGTCAAGGCCTCTCTATAGGTCCATACGGAAGCTTCCCATAGTGGATTAGAAAAATGTCATAAAAAAATGCAACAGCAGGACATCATGCCACTTGTTATCAACGAAATACATCTATATCAATATTTTTCTTTGTGAAGTCATCCAAGAAGCAGCATATAAAAATTTAAAATTTAAAATTGCCGTGATTCAGGAAGTGATACCGAGCTACAGTACATACGTAAATAATATCTTCTGGAGACGCAGAAATTGCCCATTCAGTGTTTGGAGTGGCATCTGAGGCGCTATGATGCACTTTTCGTGCTGCTAGCCCAGATGTCAACCAGTTAGAGTACCTGTTTATGCACAGAGCTGGTAGGTTAGATTTACTTTGGAAGGCTAAGCGTAAACGTAAACCAAAAAAGATATTATCTATGAAAGCTCATTCGCGTGGATGCCTGTCAGAAACGAGCTTACCTAGAAATAAGCTGCAAAAATAATCGAAGGAATTTATCAGAGCAAGAAATGACAAGAACATCGTCTTTCCAGCAGGCTTTCAAGCTTTCTAGAAGTGCAATACTTTGTTTCAATACTAGTCCTTGAGAATTGGCTTGAGCAGGTAGCAAGTCTGGGACAGGGGTGATAGTGGGCTCTGCCAGAGAAGAATCCAGATTCCCAGCAATTTCCTGAAATCTGCTTTGTTGAAATCAACACTCATGAATATCTATTGCAGAGAGAAGCTCATAAACACGATCCATCAGAAGCAAAGTACCTTAGTGAAAAACACACCCCAATGTTCCACTGTTTCATGAAGTCAGCATATACATCTTCTGACCGAAACTTAGTAACAGCAGATCTTGATGGGCAGTAACCTATCAATATTTTAAAAAAAAAAACTCAATTTGAATTTTTTAAGTGAATAGTAAGAAAGTTGATGCTTACTGCAAAAAAAGTTAGAAATTAGCTATTTTAAGAACATGTAAGTGAGAAGCTTAAGGAGCCCAAACATTCATAGCATCACTGCAGGTGATATCTTCAAATTCATTCTCTATTCGTTACCTTCAAGGTAGGACAAAAAATCTAAGCTCAATTTGTAGTTTTTCAGAAACTCTGTTGGCCGTCCAGGAGAAAATGCTCCTGGTTTTCCTTTTTGGATAGTATAGAGAACTTCCTTAAGTATTGAATTGGCCAAGAAGTCAAAAACGTGGAATCCTGAATTTGCTGAAACACAATGGAAAACTTAATCAGACTCTGTAGAAGCCGAATATTTTACAATTCAATAAGAAAGCAGATAACAAGATGACACGGGTTAACAGAAAACCCAAGTACCTGAGGACGAGATGTCCAAGAAAAATTTGCACTCTGCCTCAATGACTTGCATAATTTGTTGAAAATCCTCCTCCAGATCATCAGAAGGACCATAGCCATCCACATCTGAAGATTTCTGAGGAATAATTCTCTGGATCAAGGGGGACACTGTAGTAGTACGGAAAACTTCTTCAGCGCCTGCTATGTTACCAGTGGCTGCATATGCACGTAGACAGTTCAAGAGTGCTTCATGATCTTTGCGTTCCAGGCCAGACACAAAACAATGCCTCAAACTGTCATCAAGGGACAGGCTAGCATTGTGAATTCTCTTCTCCATGTTTTCAATAAAAGGGAGATTCTGTACTGCCGCAACATATAAAACAAATTAAACTTTTAAGAATCACATCTTCAAATAGGCAAACAAAATACCACATAATTAACTACTAGCAGCTAATTAATATGTTTACGTTGATGCGGTTAATACAAGATCACCCACAGACACTGAAAATTGCATTTTTTCTGTATCGCATTTACTTGTCCCTAACCATTCATTTTGCTTAGCTGGTTTTCACGATACAGCTTTTCATGACACAAAATGAAATATCCGGTCCACATTTTAAGAGCCCAAGTTATTTCCCCATACCGGAACTATATGCTCCAAAGGAATTAAGATGAGTAATTTATTCATTTGAACAAAACGTCCTTGTTTCTGCCTCTTCACCTAATATGCATCATATGCTCTAGACAGAAGAACAGGTTTTCTTTTGCTTGGTCTACTCATTTATTTTACTTCCTGACTAAATAACTGTATGGACAGAGGGCAAGAATGTTTGGTGTAGATGATTACATTGTTTGACTTTGTGTAGATGATTACATACAACATCATAAATTTATTATTCCTTTTGGGGAGAAGAATTGTGGAGTTTCTTTCGGGAGGGAAACACCTTCGTTTCTATGTTACAGGATTACATATCAAGGAGCGTCCATGTTTGTCCATACATAAGGAAAGTAGCTTCCTCAAGCAATCACCATGCAATAAGACCATAGAGAAAAAAGAAAGTATACATTTTTTGAACAAGTGTTTAAAAGTTGCAACTATGTCATAACGTAATAAACAGAAACAAACCTGTGCATGAGCAACATAAAATTTCAGGCGATTCATCTCGCTAGCTATCCTTTCCAAGAAAACACTTCTTGTCTTGTCAGGATTAACAATTGTTTCATTGTTTTGAAGTGAAATACCATTATGTATGGAGCTTTTCTCCAAATTAATCACATCTGTACTCGAAAGATCATTTGGAATACTACGCAATGCTTCAATAAGCTTCTCAACCTGAACATGAAATCAAATATTAACAACCATAAATCATGAGCGAGAAACAAGCATCAAATAATCAATAACTACAATTAAAAGTCATTCCTTCAAGATAGCCTCAAATGCTAATGTTTTGCAATCAAAATACAAAACTTATTTAAGCTTATAACACTGTTTTGAAAACCCTTAGTTGATCCAATGAAAGGCTCTCATCCTAACATGATGAGTAAAATCTCATGCAATCTAAAGAAAAAAAAATAGGAATCAATTTTTTTTCTATAGACACTCATTTCTAAGAAATCATTCCACTCACAACACGATGGGAAAAGTTTTGACTAGTTTGGTAAAATATTAAGAATCGTTTTTAAACACATTCATTTCACCCTATGAAATCATTCCAATCAAAACATGACGGGTAAATTCACGGCACTTTGAAAGAAATATGATGCATAATCAACCCCCATGTTGCACTGAGAGTAAACACCAACTGAAAAGCCTGGATAAAGCCTAATTACACTATTCCAAGAATATCCATAAAATCCTAGCAGGGGTACTTAGAAATGGCGACCATCATATATCAACCAAGTGAATCGAGTGAATCAATTGTTTTTCATTCCTGTTTCCAGAGCCAGCGGCATACCAAAAGAAGTTTTTAGAAAAAAATGATAAAAATCAAGTCTACAAAGCAAGTTCAATATCAGAAATAAAAGAAGTGATTTTTTCTCAGCTATGGAGCCTTTCCATTCTGTGTTTTGATAAATGCTCATAAGTCAGTCGCATGTCGGCATCTAAAATTCACAGGAATGAAAGCGAATATCCGACATTAAGAGTGCAGAGAAAATTACGTTTGAGACGACGTGGAATGCATCAAGCAGCAACTCCAGCACCTCCCTGGCTTCCGACGCCTCGGCGCGCTGGTTGAGCCCACCCTTGAGCGAGGCAAGGGATGAGGCAATGTTCCCCCGCAAGACGGAGACCTTTTCCCGGAGTTCTGCCAGCGGCGCCCGCATGCGCGACACAGATGCGTCCACATCTACGAGACGCGTGCTGAGACTGACAAAGTCGGCGTAATCGCGGTTGAGGTGGTCGACGAGATCCACGTTGAGAGAAGAGAGGTAGATCCGCAGCTCGGAGCGCAGGCTCTCGAGCGGGACGAAGCTCCGGAGATCGGCGACGTAGGCCTCCGGATCGAAATCCTTCTGGAGGAACGACGACTTCTTGAACCACAGCGGCTGCGCGTCGATCGGGTCGCCGAAGATGTCCGTCGCCGGCCGCGCCGCCGGAGCACGGAGATCCGCCATGGCTTCCCCTCCTCCGGGGAACCTGCGAGATCTCCCCCCTTCCCTCCACTCGCCCCTCCCTCCCTCAGTTCCTCCACAGTTACTGCCCCTGCCCACCCCTCTGTGCTAACGTGGACGGGCGCTAACAGACAAATTTTATACAGCAACCGGCTGACCTAGTAAACATCTTATTTATTTAAAATATTTTTTGTATTCCAATCTGATTGAAATTTTAAATAAAAATTGGCGGGGGAATTATTTTATTTATTTATTTATTTATTTATTATTATTATTATTAGTATCCCGGATTTGAAGCCATCTATATAAGTTACTCGTATGAAGGCATCATAATGTCCAAGATATCATGCAAGAATGGTCCTAAATGATAAACAATGTATGATAATTTTTAACTCATATTTCTGGGGTATTTAAAAATCATTAATCATGCAAAAATTAATATCTTAAATTTACCAAGTCCTCTCCAAGAGCCCATTAATTTCTTGCCACTTTACATTATATATTCCTGCTGGGTATATGTGTCATAATATACTATTAGGCGGATCTATGTAGAATCGTCAATATTTTTTAACCAGTCTAGAATTAGTAAAAAAATATATTTTTTTGCAATATATCTGATTATTTGACTTGGACACAGTTCTTTATAAACTCAATCAATATTAATATATAACCTTTGGACCCAATTAACCATATCAACTATCTAATTCTCTCTCTCTCTCTCTAACTCTCGTTTGTTTGAAAGCATGGCGACATTGTTAATACACTTATGAGAGAGTAATACATGAATAACATTTTGTTGAGGATACATTTACTATTTTAGATATGTAAAGGTCTTTTTTGTAATGTCACACCTAAACTTAACCCTATTGTATGAACCCTAGACTAACAAGGTATTTTTTACCTTAGCTTCTTCTTGGATGCCTCCAGCCAAGTCCTGTCTCACCACCATTCCTTCAATCTCGTCTCATCTTGTCATCATCCCCTCTAGCCTCGTCTCATCTCACAGCCACCTCACCAGGTTGAAGACTTGTCTTGGCATCATCTTGCCTTGTTGCTGCCTTCTCCATCCCAATTCTTGAATGACTCATCCCTTTTGACAGTTCAACAGTGGAATTTAATCCCCCGGTAAAATTATCTATTAAATATATTTTATATTTTAATTAAATTGAAAGACCCACATTATATAAAAAATTAGCTTGGAAAGATGGAAGATTGTGTCAATAATTCAACTAGATAAGAGGTGCCTAAACCATAAAACACATTTTTTCTTTAGCTTTTATTTTGAGGCTTTACATTGGGAAAATATGATATTGGATAATTACTTTATAATATAAAATAGTTTTTATTCATTAAATAAATAATTGAATGCTCAACTAATTCATAGTATTTTCGATTTTGAGTTTCAACACGTTGCTATCTTTGGTAACTAGGCATTGGTATTGACTAAAAATGGGAAGATTCTCTCATAGTTGTCTGCCCAAACTCATGAAGCATGCCATCCTTTAGTGGGTAGAATATTTTTAATGGCTTCCTATTATTTATTATTTTAATAAATGGAAATACCTGAAAAAACCATTATAATAAGTAGTTTAATCATTTAATTTATTAAATAGAAAAAATACGGCTACCCAATCGCCCATGGCACCAATTCTTATCAATGACGTCATAATTTGAAAAAGTTTCATACTAAAAAAGTAACCAAAATCGAGACACAATTTAATTATATATATATTTCAAGATTGCGTTGACTTTGAGATTCAAGAAACATAAAAACACATAATTATCCACGATGGTTTTTATTTTGTAACAAAAACAACGCAAAATGCCTTTTGCAGATGCGGCGGTGTGCCACAGAGTGATTACATCATCAGACGCCGTCCTGCGAGGCGTTGCAATCAGACCGATTACTCGGATGCTTTCGACGGCGCCGTCCAAAACTCCCCAAGTCAACCCTTGGGTGAATCTGGACGGACTTCCCGAGGCACGATCACTTGCCAGTGGATGACTCGGGGCCAAGGTGGACAGTGCGTTTGACCGGCCTCACTGTGTGGATCAGCTCATCCTCCTCCAGAAGAAATAGGCCGTATTATCCCGAAAGTACTCCTGTCCGCTAGTCGACAAAAATAGAGGAATCCACGTCCGAAGCGTTTTGCACGTGGAGCGCACCAGGATGGCACAAGAAGGAAATAAGGGATATTGACAGATGCATTATAGTCATTATGTACTGCCACGAAGCCCCTGTTTTGGCGGGGGAAACTGGCCGACGGATGTTCCGATGCCTGGGCAGTGGGGCCCGCCTTCCTCGCTAGTTCAACTACCCTCGTCGACCGTTCACTGAGGGCCTACCTTAGAAAAATCCTGTCCTTCTGGCTCCTCCGTCTCATCTCTGCTCTGCTCTGCTCTGCTCCTCCTCACTTCCAGGGCGAGACGGCGGCTTCTGCAATGGCGAGGGCGGCGGAGATGAGCAGCATCCTGACGCGGATCTCTCCATCAGGGCCCAGCAGATGCGGTGGCAGGAGGAGGGAGAGGGTGGAGATCTCGCTGGCTTCCTCCCGAAGCGTCTGTCCCTCTTTCCTGGGCCAGAGTGGGAGGCCATCAAGGAAGGAGCGGCCGGTCGGCAGCTGCTGCGCCTTCGTTGTGAGATCTGTGAAGATCACGGATGCGAGCCAGTGGGGTGTCACGGCGTCCGCTGATGGGGCTTTGAATCTCGTAAACCCTTCCCCTGCGATAGCCTGTTTGTCACACCAATGAGATATGCGAAGGACTGCTTGGCTTGATCGTGCGTTGTTCCGCCCTTTTTTTTTTCTTTTTTGTTCTGTTGAGCGTAGGAGGAGTTGAAGGTGTCCAATGGCACGATGGATGCCGCGGTGGCGAGGAGGAAGACGAAAATAGTGTGCACAATTGGGCCGTCAACGAGCTCGAAGGAGATGATATGGAAACTGGCTGAGGCCGGGATGAATGTGGCCCGTCTCAACATGTCCCATGGGGATCACACGTCCCATCAGCGCACCATTGACCTGGTGAAGGAGTACAACTCCCTGTCGCAGGGAAATGTTGTGGCTATAATGCTTGATACCAAGGTAAACCTGAGTACCGGTTGCAATTATGTTGGCGGTCACGTTGAGTGCTTTGTTCATGCCTCCTCCAGCGACCATTCCTATCTCAGACGTTTTGCTTACAGGTCAGGGACTAGAATATGTGCTGATTTTCGTCAACTATTTCGAGCAATCTTTCGTATGATGGTTGATCGTTCGCATTGACGTACTGATAGACAACTCTGTTTCAGTTCCAATCACATAAAAAAATTCTTGAGCGTGTTCCTTTTCTGGTAAATGTGTGTGCCTGTGGACTTCAAAAGTGTCACTGGCGGCCTCTCGTTTGTATTTTTCATATCTCTTATTCTCAATGCAACCTTGCCTTTATTCACTTTTAGCTTTGAACGAAAGTGCATTGACGAAGTTTGACCATAAATCATGCTCGGATTAAATTTTCCGCTATTTATTGTTCCACATGCTTCAATTCGATTAGCAGCAAATGCTCGCACACCACTACTAGATGTAGAAGAGCACTTTTTATGGGTAAAATAAACCATTTCCATGTTCATGTTGCAATGCATTTCTCTTCTATTTTCCTCCAAAGCTCTGCTTTTTCTTAGCAGGATAACAGACATATCATTTCTGACAAAACATTGTAGGGCCCTGAAGTGAGAAGTGGAGATGTGCCTCAACCCATATTACTTACAGAGGGCCAGGAATTCAACTTTACAGTAAAAAGAGGAGTCAGCACTGAAGACACTGTCAGCGTGAATTATGATGACTTTGTGAATGATGTGGAGGTTGGTGATATTCTTCTGGTTGATGGTGAGTGGAGATTATTTCTGAATACCATTTCTTTAATCGAAATCATCTTTAATCCCTTTAGGGATGATAGTAAAAATCTTTTGAAATTTATTTGATGACGGAGAGTATACTTTAGCAGGTTGTTCCGATGATACCATTTTTATTTCTTTTCATTTTCACAGAGATATACTGAGAGAAATAGAGGGGGCACTCCTATCACATTTATTTAAAGTAGAATGTATATAGAAAAATGCATATTCAATGTATGTATGGTGACCTTATTTCTCTGACTGCTAAAGGCTTGTTAAAAGTTTCATGCTTCTTATTTTGTGTACTATTCACCATCATGAAGCCAGGCATACACGTTTTTCTGTAAGTTATTATTCATTTGAATTTCATTTTTTTTTTACTATTACTCCCATGAATGGAACCAAGAAGATAAATTGATCATGCAAACTTACTATTAATCCATGCTTCTTGTTTTTTGGACAGTAAAATGCTTTGGTTTCGACTAATTTCTCAGGACGTGCCAAATAGGTCATTTAAGTCAATGTTTGCGAATTTCAGTCGAGATCTCTGAAATATGACATACTAAAATCCACAATTTCAGCCTGGTAGAAATATGGGCCGCTCCTTGAATGATTTATGAACCTTGGTGAAAACTTGATTATAACGGGGCCGGTGATGATTTTTATTGTTTGAGCTTCTTAAATGAAAGCCAATAAGTAAGCAATATGGCATTACTAAAGCTACAAGGAAGATTTGAAGATGACGTGAGAGGATCTGGCGAATACTAATTGTCCTTATGAAGAATGCTGTGAATTACGATGCTGACTAGGATGCAAATGGGTTTAATGGGTGGTGGTCTTAGATGCTAAAGATATTTATACACTTATTTAGAGAATGCGTTCATTTATGCACTTATTTAGAGAATGCACTTATTTATGCTAACGATATTTTGTAACATCTGGGTGGCCGATTCAGTTATGTTAGAGAGAAAGTGGCTGGGGAGACACCAAATCGATGTTCGCCTATTCTTGTTAGACAAGGACTTATTCACCTTGTAATAATATTGTCTATCAAATAGTCATTTCATGAAAGGAATTATTCTTCAGTTTCAGTTATGAATAATGAATACTGAATATTATTGTAGGAGAATCAGGTCAAAAAAACTTTTATTACTCAGGAAGGTTACGATTGCTGGTTGAATTTTGTGGATTTCCTTGAACCCTGGAAATGGAGGTGCATCTACGCACATGTTTCTTGATGTACCCAACAAAGATCACTACCTGACTACTGGTCAAAGGGCATGTGCGCGACAGCCTTACATATAGATGATGGGCATCATCGTACATAATATTCACTGGGGTGGAAGTGGTCATGCGCGATTATTCATTCGAAACTTCCTATCTTGACCTTTGTTTATGATTCAAATATGCCGCTCAGTAGGTCATATTGATCAAGATAAATATATTCTAGTATAAAAAGTTGGAGATCAGGAAAAACTTGGTGGTGGCGTGGAAGCATGTGTGTGCAGAGCTATGGTAGGAATGAGAAGCAGAGAAGCAACATTGATTACGTACCACAAAATTGTAGGAGAGTGGGCTCCTCGGTATTCTTTGGCCAGGGCTGATTGATCCTTTGAAGGATAACCGTGCTAATGACTCAGACATCTGTAACATAGCATCCAGATTACAATCATATCGTTTTTTATGGTTACTTCTTTTTTACAGATTGCTTTAGTCTGAACGCATCAGAATCATATTTTAAAGGCAGAAAAATGGAGAACAATATTTCTGACACGTAATTAAACTGATACAAGAGACTTTCACTTGCCTCATAAATTGTGTTTGTGTTATTCATAGGTGGGATGATGTCATTATCTGTGAAGTCAAAAACGTTTGATACAGTTAAATGCGAGGTAGTCGATGGTGGAGAGCTGAAATCAAGGCGCCATCTAAATGTCCGAGGCAAAAGTGCTACATTACCATCCATCACAGGTTGCTTCATTGTTTTTTCTATCAGTTTCTGTTATATGCTTCTTCTGAATATTTCCTTTTTTGATAATGGGGGATTATCTGAAATATGGCATCTTCTTTTCCTTTTTGGTTGTCACAGAAAAAGACTGGGAGGATATAAAATTTGGCGTGGACAACAAAGTAGATTTCTATGCAGTCTCTTTCGTGAAGGATGACAAAGTTATATATGAGCTGAAAGACTACCTTAGAAGTACATTTCATACTTCTTTCAAGTTCCTCTTTGAAATAATAGTAACTATTCTTCTTGATTTCAATGATTGTATTTTGATAAGAATACTCATAGAAATCTGTATTTACAGGCTGCAATGCAGATATACATATAATTCCAAAAATAGAAAGTGCTGATTCTATACCAAACCTTCATTCAATAATTGCAGCATCTGATGGCGTAAGTCAATGCCCTGCTTTGTTGAAGTTGATGCATTGTCTTATTTCAATTTGATAGACTCATTTCAATACAGTGGCTGAAGACTAAATTTCTATGCTATTTCTAGCAGTTTTTTCGTATATCAATGATATTAAGTTACAGCACATTGGTTGCACAAGTGTAAATCGTATTGCTTGCACTAACTTCAGGCCGATCTGTTTCATAAACATCATTTTGCACTGGATATCATCCCATTTCTATAGTCAGGTAACACAGTGAGCAAATATTAAGATAGACAATGTGACCTGTAAATCTCTTCCTTTATAACATATTAGGGGGAAATGATCTTTAGGTAAGTCCTTCCCCAAAATAGTTCAAAGCCAAGGTACTCAGAATTGGCCCTTCTGATATAGGCGGTGATTGGGGGGAGAGGGGGGGGTGTTTGGGTGTGTGATCCCTATGAAGTTGAAAAGAAAGCAAAAGGTGTTACCCGCCAGAGATCAGCCCTGGTCTGATCTGCTAGATGAAAAGGCACGTCACAACTGCTGGTGAGTGCGTACGAAGAAGAAGACAGAATAAAAGGGATAAAAATCTCTATCGGCTGCTGTCAATAGGGGAACAATTCTCCCTGCTGCTGCTGGTATATGTCATAGGTGGCACACCACCAGTTGTCATCCCACAAAGATCTCTGCCCTATGCACTGTCCTGTCCCCCCCAGAAAGGGATTAAGGACGGGGAGCCTTTTATGAAAGGTTCGATCGAAAAACCTTAATGAAAGTTTTCTTTATATTTATATACTATTAATAATAAAAAGGTACAATTCATTGTAGTGGGATGTGACACTAGACATGTGATGAGACTACAATTCATTGATGCCTGGGAATCTGGGCACGATGTGAATTGATTGACAACCAGTTCTGAGGATATGGGCAAAAAGGTCCAGATAAACCGCATACTGCTATAACCCAGTTGATGCCAACTCGACTTGAGTAGTTACTGACTGCTAGCATGCTGCCATGCAAGGGGTTGTCTGGATATCCTTATGAGCGTTTTATTTATAGAACCCTTGCCATTACCTCAGGTGCTCGTTTTCAACTCCAGAAATGTTGCAGACTGTGGAGTCCCTGTATACCTGTATGTACACTGGTAATATTTGAGGCCGGCCTTTACAGATGTTGTTGTTTATTGCTTCAAGGGGAAGATTGTCATATTGGTTGGTTTTGGGGAGCCTAGGATATCACTCGATTGGCCAGAGGCCGAGTTTTAGGCATTGCTAAAAGTCAGGTTCAGAAGCAAATAGGGACAACAACGCAAGTATCTTGTGTTGGGGTGCAAAGGTCCACAGAGAATCATAGATCCAATGCCAAACAGAGATTATAACACTATTGTAGATCAGATCAGATTCGGTGGTTTGAAAATAAAAATAATTGAACTGTGGGTCAAATGGAAATGTTTGAGGAATGCAACCCAAACACAGCCTGTTAAGTGTCAGGTGGGTATTGGATTCCGATTGGAACCTATGTAGTCATTTTTTAATTTATTTGATTTATAAAATATTATCTTTTGATTTATATATTCAAAGATATCTTTCTTTTTTCTTTTGGAGGTTAAGTGGCAGTATTCTTGCTTTTCATCTCTTGGGAATTAGATTAGTTGAATGGTGTAGAGCTTGGTTTATTTAGGAAAGCTTTTATATGTTTTTGGCCTTCATTTTTGCTGATTATATCATTGGGCCTTTTGGTGTTGAAAGATGGAAATTCGAATATACTGATTTGTAGACAATTATTTTCTGGAGGATACTGATTAGTAGACAATTCTTTTCTGGAGTAGCCCTTGTAAAATAATTAAATAATTTGAAGCTCCAGATCGGGTCTAGTCTAATGGTTTTTTTTTTTTTTTTTTTCCAAATACCGTCAAATTGGAGGGGTGGTGATGAAGAAATTAAATCCCTCTCCTACCCCAATGCATATATTCACAAAGCGGGTGAAATCTACTTGTACTAAGAGTGTGGATCCTAATCTGTATTATGAAAAAATTATTTCTAATGCTTTGGGCACTCGATTTCTTCCTTCCAAGTATATGCGCGGAAATAATATTTTTAAATATTACAGATATTCTATTGTTTATTTTTTGTTGTTTTCCTCGTACGTGTGGTAAACGTGCATGTACAGAGACGACCTGTTTTTCTAATTGCTATTCCTGATACAAATATTTTTAGGCAATGGTTGCCCGTGGAGATCTTGGTGCTGAGCTTCCAATCGAGGATGTTCCTTTAATTCAGGTTAGCATTCTTTTCTGTTTTTAACCTGAACATTTCGTATAAATGTTTCTGAAGTTTTTTGAGAGCACTCCCAGGATAATAGCTTGAGTTCAATCGAAAATATAGATAGAACAACACAAGAATCCAAAGGAAGAACAGGGTGAAATAAAAATGGGGGAAGAAAAGAAATAATGATGGTTTCCACAGGAACCCTAGGACCAGTTCGGGGCTAATTCGAGAGCGCCTTGTGGCGCCCATTCCCCCTGGTATATTACGTTTGTCTGCTCTAGAATACATCTGCTTCTTTTCAGCAGCAGGGCATCCCGCCAGTTTGGTGAGGAGTTCAATTATATCAGTGATATTGTCCTTGCTTAAGAATGCTGAGGCATATGCCTCAAGGTGGGATACTAGAAAATCATCTTCAACCTAGTAATCGGGCAGTTGACTAAAAGTGTACGACTTTGGTTAAACGAGGCAGTGGGGCACGAGACATTCAAGTCTAGCCTGGGGTCCATGAACCTCTTGTTTTCCTTTGTAGAAAGCATAAACATAGAGAGAGAGAGAGAGAGAGAGAGAGAGAGAGAGAGAGAGAATACCTTAGCTATGATAGAACAGAGAGAAACAAAGGAGGGAGAGGGAGGAATAGGGGAGACACCTCTCGCACCCACTAAGTCCCTTAAATAGGGACGAACCCTAACAATCATTTTCCCAAAATAGCCTTTAACCTAATTACAAAAGCATGATCATATAGTGGAGATTTTGCCGGAGAGCCAGTAAAAAAGTGAAAATGGATTTCGAATGGAATCCGGCTCTGCCTTAAAAGCATCCAGCTGTCTTGTGCACAGTGCAGATCAAGCCGGAACTACTCTTTTTAGCACCAATGCTCTTTCCCTTTCCACCTTTGTGCCATTACTTCCTAACTTCTCTCCCTCCTCATACCTTCTAATCTCTTTATACAGAGTGTTGAGTTGGTCCATTCGATCTTCTCGTGTCGCATAATAACTTTTTTCTTGTAAGAATATTAGCTACATGTAATGGAGCTACCTCTACGATGAAGAGATACCCGTAGAGTTCCCCTGAATTTTGTGTCATAATGCATAGAAAATGTGTAATTTTTTATTTTTTTTTATCATCCAATTGTTCTAGTTTGAAGGTCTACGATGAGCTCACACCATGACGCAAATTAGAACGAATCATTTGATATTTTCACGAAATTCATACATTCATACGCTTTCACTGTTTATTTTGTATCGTGCAAAAGTATGGGAAAGTTATGCCGATTTCAGTAGTGTTATTTTCTAGTGATGCACAGACCTTTCTGCAATTGAGAACATTAAACCATGCTATATAAGAACATGAACAGGCAAAAAAAAAAAACTCCGTAGTGTACATTTTTGATGTAGAGATTGCATTTAATCGTGCTGATTTTTTCCATCTGATCCTCAAAAAAAAAAAAAAAAAACAGAAGACCATATTACTTGAAATATGTAGCATGATGAAATTCAGTATAATAAATGTGGATAATTCACTAGGATTTTCTCCGGAAAGAATAATATTCCCAAATTGGCAATATTATTTCTCTGTAACTTATTCTACAGATAGTGATCGGTAGATACCTATACGTGCCAACTCTCTCTGTTCTTCTTATGGCATATTATTATCTCACAGGAGGATATAATCAGAACGTGCCGCAGCATGGGGAAGCCTGTGATAGTCGCAACCAATATGCTGGAGAGCATGATTAACCATCCAACTCCAACCAGGGCGGAGGTATCCGACATAGCCATTGCCGTCCACGAAGGTGCCGACGCCATCATGCTCTCAGGAGAAACCGCCCATGGGAAGTAAGCACCCACCTCATTTCTCCTATATAAAAAAATAATTAATATAGATTTCTATCTCATTTACTTTAATATGCAATAATTTGAAAATGTTCTTTCACATAATAAGGGTCTAACTAAATAAGTTATAATTAAAAAAATAATAAACTGTTTTTTATAACTCTAAGGGGCTTGTGCTCCATGTTCTCAGATGATTTATAAAAATTTTGGGCTTTATTTTTATTTTTTAAAAAAATAAAAAATAAAAAAATAATTTCATTAATATTTTGATTTCTACTTATAGGTACCCGATAAAGGCCGTCAGGGTGATGCACTCGGTGGCGCTGAGGATGGAGTCGACTCTGTCTGCCAACGCCGCCGCATTCAACCAGGTAGCGTGTTATCGATCATATGGAACAATGTTCAGTGATTGGAGTTGTTGCTCACACATTGGTGGGGTGGTTGCAGGATGTGTATGGGGAGATATTCAAGAGCCACATGAGCATGATGTTTGCGTCCCACGCGACGGCCATGGCTAACACGCTGGGCACGCCGATCATCGTCTTCACTCGGACGGGATCCATGGCCGCCCTCCTCAGCCATTACCGGCCGTCCTCGGCCATCTTTGCCTTCACCAATGAGTAAGCTCTTTTTTGCCATAACTGGAAGTTAGAGAGAGAGAGAGAGGTGGGGAATGGGCAGAAATTGTTGTTTCGTTTTTAGGCGTGATATTGGGATTGAAGCCAGGCTCTGGGCTGACGGCCTACTGACGCTGACGCCTGCTTCTTATGATCGGCAGAGAACGGGTGAAGCAGAGGCTGGCTCTCTACCACGGAGTGCAACCCACATACATCAGCTTCTCCAGTGATGCCGAGGAGACATTCTCTCGCGCACTCAAGTCCTTGATGGTACGCCATCATCCTCTCTCTTTCTATCTCTACTGAATTGACTCCTCTAACCTCCTCTCTCTCTCTCGCGCGCGCTAAAACCAGGCGCAGGGTCTCCTGAAGAAGGGCGAGTACGTGACTCTGGTCCAGAGTGGGACGCAGCCCATCTGGCGGCGCGAGTCTACCCACCACATTCAAGTCCGAAAAGTGCAGGCCTGATTTTCTTTTCCAGCACGAACTCCAACTCCCCTCCACTTTTCGTCATCTTTTCTCGTATATGTTTTTGTTTGGGTCTGCTGATTTCGATGCGACCATGCTTTTTATCCTTAACTTCTTAAGCCCTCTACCTACCGCAAGTTTAGGGCTAAATATGTGGCGCCTAATCTAATTCCCACTGCCTCTTTCTGTCAACATGTTTCTTTATAGTTTTACAGGGTTTTGGATCGTCTCCTCAAGAATATATATATATATATATATATATATATAGAGAGAGAGAGAGAGAGAGAGAGTAGATAGGTAGAGCCTACTGCAAGTACTTGTCCGTAGGCTCTCCTCTCTCTCTCTCTCTCTCTCTTTCTGTGTCTACTAAGATAAACATGGGAACTTCAGAACACAGATAGATCGAAGACTGGAAGAAATAGGAACTTCATGTGTACAGAGAAGAGCAGATAAATTAGAGCCTATTTTTTATATTTTTCAAACGTTTTTGAAGAGCGAGAGAGAGAGAGAGAGAGAAAGAGGACTTTGGATTGGGCTTGATCCTCGGGATCGGTATCAATCAGAAGAGATAGCAGGCCCTGTGCGAGTAATTGATCTTCAGATACTCTCTCTCTCTCTCTCTCTCTACTTAGATGAACATGGGAACTTTATGAACGCAAGAAATATTAACTTCTTGTGTACAGGAGAGCGAATAGATCAGAACCCATATTTTATATTTTTAAATATATATTCAAACCCTAAATGCATGAAGAGAGAGAGAGAGAGAGTGAGCATTACGATTTTTTCTTGCTCCTCTGCACAAATGACAAAAGAATTTTCATTTCTTTTGCTTTGATAGATTTGATTCCCGGGGTTGACGAGGGGGCATCCCATAGGCAGCCCCTGGGTTTCTTTTCTCATCTTCCCCCTCCTTCCCCCTGGTTAGGGCGGAAAATCTCCTCTTCCGTCTTCCCTCCTCCTGGATCTCCAAGACCAGCTCCCTCCTTTGCCGGAGTAATCTCGCTCCTCCTCCTCCCCCTCCTCAGGTTCTCGCCGTCACCGTCTTCCCTCTCCGGCGACGGAGGTCACTCTGCCGTGGTCGGAGCTTCTCCTCCGATTCCCTGGAGCTCTAGCGCTCCCCACATCCATGGGTTTCCTCCACCGAGCTGTCGTCCTCCTCTCCACCGCCCGCTGCGGCATCCATTAGGGTTTACCCGTTTATTCATCCATTCCGATGAAATCTGAAATTCTCGAGAGCGAAGCTCGAGAGGGATCACAGATTTCGATCTCCGACGCCTCGGAGAGGATCTCGGATTCCTGTTCCTTGTAGGGTTTCCTCGGCAGGGATTCCTTCCAGGATTCTTTCTCCTCGCCCTATGTCCAGAGGGGATTACCGCGGGGACGCCATCACCATCACTCCCAAGGCCTGGCCGGCGCCGGCGGACCAGGCGCTGTGGGCGACGGAGGACGACTACCGGAGCTGGAACGGCGAGCGGGAGCCCTCCTCCGACGCCTCCAACCACGAGCAGCAGCCCCCCACCAAGAAGCCTCGTGGAGGCGGCGCCGCCGCTTCCACCTCCGCCGCCGCGAGCAGGTCTAAGGCGATCGGGAAGATGTTCTACAAGACGAAGCTCTGCTGCAAGTTCAGGGCGGGGACGTGCCCCTACATCACCAACTGCAACTTCGCCCACGGGATCGAGGAGCTCCGCAAGCCCCCGCCAAATTGGCAGGAGATCCTGGCTGCCCAAGAAGACGGACCGGAGATCCCAAGGGAGGAGCATCGGATTCCGATCATCTCCTCCGGCGCCGGCGGGGAGGCGCAGAGGTCCTACAAGGGTAGGCACTGCAAGAAGTTCTACACCGACGAGGGGTGCCCATATGGAGACACCTGCACCTTCCTCCACGACGAGCAGTCAAGGTCCCGGGAGAGCCTGGCAATCAGCCTTGGCCCCACCGGCGGGAGCAACGGATACGGCGGCGGCGTTGGTGGCGGCGGCGGCGGCGGCGGCGGCGGCGGGGGCGGTGGCTACAACCAGAAGCTCTCAAACTGGAAGACGAGGATATGCAACAAGTGGGAGATGACCGGTTACTGCCCATTTGAGAGCAAGTGCCAGTTCGCCCATGGCGCAGCAGGTGCAGTGCTCACATCTCAAAAACCCTTCTTTCCGAACACATCTCATGCTACAAATAGTTCATCACGCGTTGACTTATGGTCGACCATCCGTTGACCTATGATGGAACATCATTCATGAACTATGCGTTGATAAATGATTTTAATCCATCATCATCAGCTCGGATTTCTCCGTTTAAGAACACTCGTCGCCGTCCCATTCGAGGGCTGATTTACAGCCGCCGTTTGCTTAGGGTGGACTTCTGATCGAGCAGCTTTCTTGAGCAATGCGTTAACTTTTTCGCACATATGAAATTGACACTCATCTGGGTACAGAGCTCCACAGATTTGGCGGTGGGCTAGTGGACGGAGAAGGGAGGGACTCTTCTTCGACGCCGTCGGACCCGAGGCAGGCCGGCATATTATCCAGGCCGCCGGTTGACTCCACGGCCTACAGCTCGTCGGTCCCTCACACAGATTCCTACAACATGGGAATCTCCTCCCAGCGGGGCAGCAGCGGCGGCGGCGGAGGAAGCCTGAGGCAGGTGGAGAGGGAGCGGCCTCTTCCACGGTGGAAGGGCCCACAGAAGATCAGTAGGGTTTATGGCGACTGGATCGACGACCACGAGTAGGGCACTTTCTGTAGCTTCTTCTGATTACTTTCTTCATCATCTTCAATCTTGCTCAATTTGGTGTTCCCTGCATAATTCATCTGATCCCACTCTCCTCTGGTCAGGATCTCCATACCCAGACAAATGAGCTCATGAACTAGGTCAAACTGTTGTATAATTAATATGTTTTCTGTCGCCAATAAATACTTTTTTTCACTTGAAAAATGAGTCGAATTGGATTTTATTTTTTTTTGGTGAATCATGGAATTTTCATGGTGCAGTAATTGTTTCATTAATTTTTTTGGTGGAACTGGTTTGACATTATTTACCCAGATTAAGGAGCTCGTGAATGATGTTAAAGCGTCGGGAGTTTCCTATATCTGTTTGACATATCCAGTAAATATATTTTAGTCGGAAAATAAGCTGAACTGAACAAATCTGTGGAAGAAATTTGTTGAAGTTGACATTTTTTTTCATTAAATTTTCGTTATTGGAACTGTTCAGAGTGGAATTTAGTCAGGGGGTTTTGACTCTGTTCAATCCCTTGGCGTGGAATTTCCAAGTTGGTGCATACCCCCCCGGGGAAAGAACGTTGACCTTACTGTAGCTCTCAAGAAATATAGCCGAGTGACGAGCCAACTCCCCACGAGAGTGGGAAAGAGGCAGCTTAGATCAAGTCAACCATCTTTGAAAACCCGAGGAAGGGGAGGAGAATATCCGCCTGCATCGGGTAATTAGTGGATAAATTTCGTCAAATTCGCCGTTTTTTGCTTGAACTCTGGGTATTTCCATTAATATCAGATACTGAATAGCTAAAGTGGACATAATTTCTCGAATGAAACCCGGGAAAAAAATAAAATACGCGGGAAGGTCGTGCATTTTCAGCATCTTCGTGAAGTTATTCATAATTAGCTGTTCTCTCTCTCTCTCTCTCTCTCTCTCTCTAGCACATCAGGAGGACCAACGGGATTCCTTATTGTGACGGCGAAAAGGCGACGCTTTTAGTGGTAGAGCTGCCCTGGGATGTCCCCGTCTATCAGACGGCCGGCCACCTCCGCGCGCTGGCGGTGCCGCTGCTGCGCCGCCGTGCGTAGCATCTGCAGCAAGAGAGGAGCAAGTAGCCGACGCCCCCCACGGTGAGAACCCCGCCGAGCGCCACCGCCAGCCTGAGCAGCCAGTGGGTTCCGCCGCCGCCTCCCCGCCGCGTCATCTCCTCCGCCGCCGCCCCCACCGCCTGAAGGAGCAACTCCCCCACGGCGGCGGAATTCTCTCTTCTACCCCCCGCCACTATGGACCTGATCATCTCTCCTTCCATCTCTCTCTCTCTCTCTCTTCTTGGCGCCGTGGGTTCTCCCTGGGAGGTGGAAGCATTTATAAAGGGACCATTTTTCCGACTAGGGTCTCGGCCATCTCTCTCTCTCTCTCTCTCTCCTCTTTCTCTCTCTTCTGTTCTTGTTTTTAAAATTCTTAGTGTGGCGGCATGCATGATGGGGGTGTGGGGGGAATAACACGAAGATACGTGAGATTCTCGCACCTTCGAATCTCGATATTTAAATTTTATGGTAGGGGAAATTATTTATTTTTAATAATTTCTCTCGTCCCCCGGCAGATTAAAGGAATTTCTGACATTATAAATTATATTTATATGTAAAAAACTCTTTTTTTATGGAATTAATTAGGGCCACATATGGGTCTTGGGCCCACCACCCAGGGCCAATCAACTGGACGCCCCCCCTAACCTACAAAATAAATGTATTATATATATTTTTATATTTTCTTTTATAATCCATGCACATGATTCCCAAGAGGAAACTACAAATACGTCATTTTCCATATTATTTATTTTTTTGAAATTATGGTGCCATGCATTTTACGTTGCATGGTCCACATGATGAAGGATTAAACCATTTACTTTAATAAATTGGAAATAAATAATGTCCACCTAGAAAAAAAATTATTACTATTTTTAGCCAGATAGGAAATAATTTCTCATTTTTCTAAGTAAAATTCTCTATTTATCCACATATTCGGCACCCCCATATTCATATTTTATTCTCAATATTTATTATTTTTGTCGTATTTTTCGTCGCAAAAATGCTCATATTTTCGACTATTATCAAGGGCTGTAGCCATTGATTATTACAACCATATTATTTTTTGATAAAAACGAAGGTGAGGGGTATAATTTAATTAATTTAAAATATTTTTATTGCCACGATAATTACAATCCGAAAATAATGAGGATACCACTGGTACTTCCTCCCACAGTAATCCGTCTTCACCACTGCGTCACCCCGATCAACGAGGTTCAGGGTTTCTCCCTCTTCAGCGGCGCCGCCCGAGAGAGAGAGAGAGAGAGAGAAGATGAACGGAGGAGAAGGGGAGAAGGGGAAGGCTGGAGAGAAGGTGTGCCGGCGGTGCAAGAAGCTGTACGATCCATCGTCCAACGCGTCCTCCTCCTGCAGGTTCCACCCGTCCTTCTTCGTCTCCCGGAGGCACGACGACCAGAAGAGGTCTCCTCTTCCCCTCCGCCATAATCCTCGATCGCTGGTTTTCTCCGATAATTACCGAATCATCGGTTCACATGATCAGATTTGCCGGAAGATCTGATCAAATTGGGGAAGAACAGGAGAACTAGACGAATCAGCTTCCCCATGTTTTTTTGTCCCCCTTTCTCTCGATTTTCTCTGAGAGATTCCTGTTCATCTCGTGTTTTCCATTTCCAGCGCATCATTCCCACGCGATCGTTTCTAGAATCATGGTTCATCTCTTATTCGATTCGTGCTGGGGAATCAGGGAGCTCTGCAATTATTCGCAGAAGACCTCGCCCCGGCATGGAACCCTAATTCTCCGATCCCACCTCCCTTCTCCATGATTCCTGCGAATAATTGGGGAAAGAGTTCCAGGTCCATTAGAAAATGTTCTTCACGAGCTCAGAAACTGAGATAGACATCGATGATAATCCTTTCTCTCCGCTGGGCTTCTGAGATCTTCAGGGCGGAATCCATAAAGCACTGGTTAGGAGTTGACCAAGCTCGCAAAGCCATCGAGGGTAAAAGTGGCTGAGAGTTGACCAACCTCAGAAAACGTATATCTCCAATGAGGGAAATAAATACGTCATTCATGATCTGATCATCTTCACCTCAAGTCATTGACTTTTTTGAGTCGGATGATCCAATAACTAACTCCACAAGATGGGGTCTTTCTATGTTTCTTATTTCCTGAGGTCAAAATGGCGGTTCTTGAGGTTTTGATGGGGGTTGACTACTTTCCGCATCCGTGTTGAAGGTACTACGAGCTGGGGCCTGATGATCCTCCCTACGCCGCCAAGTTCTACGACTGCTGTGGGGCCGAGGACCCCGCCGCCTTGGGCTGCACTGTGAGCTTCCACGTCTCCTATGACGACGGCGATGAATGATCCTGATCGGCGATTAGCCGTCCGATCAGCATCGGACGTGTGAGGTGTCTCTCTGAGTTGACTATGCGGGTCTTCGAAAATTAAAATGTGCATATTTCTAGTTTAATGCAAACTTTTCTGCTAATCAATGTAATTTTTAATAAACAATATATATTATCGTCTTTTAGTCGTGATTAGTGTAGGGTTCCACCCTCTCTCTCTCTCTCTCTCTCTCTCTCTCTCTCTCTCGTTCTCTCTCTATCTCTTCCCCCTTGTGGGTCTGGTTTGTAACCTATTTTTGGGCCTCTTTTGGGCCCGGGCCCGTCTCAGTCATAGATACTCGCCAGCTCGGAGTCTCCGCAAATAGAAACGTGGGTCAACGGCACACGCTTTATAAGGTGAAGGCAACCGTATGATGGGAATCTCTCGGGGTTCCCAGCTGGCATCCCCGCAGAATATGTGGACTTTCCAGAAGTCAACTGTTCATACCATCTGAGGTGGGTCCCAACCCGGGCTAGAGAGCTGAGTCCGCTCGGTCATTCGATCCCGGGTTTTTTAATAATTAAATAATCGAGTAAAAAAATGTGGGGTTTCATGAAATATATTTTTCATTTAATTATTTCGCGTATAAAAAAGGTGAGACTGTCGGAAAAGGTAGACCCCTCCCCCCAAATGCGGTGTCTGCGCTCGGTGAAGGTAAGAATTTTCTGGGATGTGGGGCCCAATGTGGGCCCTTACCACGTGCCGTCCCACTATCGATTCAGATCATTAATTACAACAATTAAGAGAACTAATAAAAGGGCATCAAATGTCACGTCTGCCCTTTCGCCCCTCTTCCTCCTTTCTCCTTCCTCCTCCCTCTTCACTCGCCCCCAGCCGCAGCAGTCGCCGCCGAGGAACTTGCCTGCCGGCGGGAGGAGGAAGGTGACGGACGTCCTTTGCCTCGGAGGAAGCCGAATCTGAGATATGGAGTCTGGTGGAGGAGGGGCAGGGGGGGAGATTTGGTCGCCGACGGAGGCGGATAAGGCGCCGGCGGGGCTGACCAGAGAGGAGTACGAGGAGCTGCGAGGATTGATCGAGGAGCGGCATACGTACAGGGTGGCGGCGGGGCAGTGCTCCTCGCTTCTGTCGCAGCGAGTTCGTGCCCCGGCCTCTGCGGTTTGGTCGGTGGTCCGGCGATTCGATCGCCCTCAGGTGTACAAGCACTTCATACGCAGCTGCGCTCTGAAGGATGACGGCGGCGGGATCAGGGTGGGGTGCCTGCGGGAGGTGAGCGTCATCTCGGGGCTGCCGGCGAACACCAGTACGGAGCGGCTGGATATTTTAGACGAGGAGCGCCTGGTGGCGGGATTCAGCATCATCGGCGGCGAGCACCGGCTGAGGAACTACAGGTCGGTGACGACGGTGAGCGAGTTCAAGAGATCTGATCGGGAGAAGGAGGAGGCCGGAGAAGACGAGATCCGGAGCATCGTTCTGGAGTCGTACATCGTGGACATCCCGGAGGGGAACACGGAGGACGATACGCGGATGTTTGCCGACACGGTCGTGCGGCTCAATCTCCAGAAGCTGGCGTCGGTGTCGGAGGCCCGAGCCAGCGATCGCGCCAGCCGCGGCTACGACGGCGACGAGGAGGACGAGCAAGTGGATCACCAGGGGACGGTGAAGAAGAGAGCGCGGGGTATCGATTGACTGGCCGCAACTCGGCGAGCGCGGAAGGCCGAGGATCGTGGAAAATCCCCTGAAACCACCAGCAGGTGATGCTAGAAGTTAGTATGTCAGATCCACCCCTCCTCTCTCTCTCTCTCTCTCTCTTCTGTTTCGCTAGATCGTTCCTCCTTACCGCAGTGATTTCCCTCGGAGTTTTGCGCCTCCTTGGAATAATTCCGCATCTGGTTTGAAATGATTTGCTCCCCTCCCGCCTCCTCGATCCCTGATCTCCCCGAGAACGATCGACCCCGCCTCCTGCTGTCCTCGATCCTCGTCTCATCTCCACCTTCCTTTGCGGGAACAAGACCGCGAGAAGAGGCCTGGGAGGGTGAGGGATTGAAGATGATCGGCTCTCATGAAAAGAAAAATAAAAAATAAGATCTTAAAAGAAGAAGAAGAAGATAAGCAATCAACACTGTTCTGGTTCGTGCAACATACCATTCATTCCTCGATGATCATCGCAAAATATCATTTCACTTCATTGATCACACCTTGTCATCGGCATATGCATTCATCAGAAGAAGAAAAAAAAAAGAAAAAAAAAAGGCATTTTCCTCCGCATTATGCTCCGATCGATGGCATCTCCTGAAACCAGTGCCGACGTTGCTGCCTGTTGTTCTTGCAACATATCATCCATTCCTCAACAATCATGACGAACAATCATTCCTCTCTGTCATTGGCACATCCATTCATAAGAAAAGAATCATTTCCCTCCGCCTTATGCTTGTTTATTTACAGACAATTTCTTCCCCATTATTCTCCCATCGATGATCTGTCCTGAAATCCCAGAGAATGCGTCAGCCTGCCCCATTCTCAGATAATTTTGGGCTCTGGGTTGCTTTCTAGTTGACGAATATGCTAGATTTTCTCAGTTCCAGTGGATTTTCCGGCCAAGAACATGCCGACAATCACCAAACCCGATTTTCCTTTTTTTTATTTTTTTGAAAAATTGAGAGTGGCTCTCAAGTTCTATCCTAGCCAAACATGAACGGATCCTCCACAAGTTCTCCCCCAAGTTGTCAACTTGGAGAGATGGACTAACTCTCTCTCTCTCTCCCTATGTGTCGCCTTTCCCACGTCACCTCCACGTGGGCACATAACCTGGCCCCTCATTTCGTACCAAACTATATTCTGTCCTCCGTATTCTATGGTTCAGTGGGAGAATAATGTCGGAGGCATCTCTGTGGTGCCCCCTCACACTTGCCATAGCTAAAATCATCCGATGACGCGGCCAAGCCCCCACCCAGAGATTGTCATGAATGCTTTTTTATTTTCTATAAAAGAATTAAAACTATTAAACTCCCCTATATAAATAAATAATAAATGAATATGAGGGCGGGAGTAATGAAATCGCTGTGTAAAACCATATAGTATTTATTTCTCTTCCACAGAATAATGATGGAATATTATGGTGAGATGGCCGCACGTGCCAGTCCGCATAACGGAAAGATAAGGTCGGCCCAATAGCCAGATTGGAAAAAGAAAACATTCCTCTGTGGGGTGAGAGAGGCTCGAACTCTCGACCTCAGGATAACTCGAAGCTATGAGACCTACGCGCTAGCCAACTGCGCCACCACCCCGTTCTCAAATGATTGGAAATTAACATTTTATCGTATCTTCTCCGCCGTGACCAAGTCAACGAGGGAAAACAATTTCCGCATCTGTTATAAATATTTAATATCCATTAAAGAACTTAATTTCCAAGCTTGGTTTGGCTGGCGTCAAACATGGTGGGCTCATTGGTCTTTGACTTGACCCGAGAATAGAGACGCCGTTGACGTTGATTAGTAGTATTTCTTATTTTACCCCCATTACTTCTTGAATTATAATGTCCTTATAGTATTTTGTTTATATATACCCCCTCCCCCACGAACTATTCTGTCGCTATTTTTCAGTCTTTTTAATCCAACTAATTACAGTTAATATAAAATATGCTGAAGAAAACGATTAATTCACCCTCATAATCATATTAATTATCCAAAATCCACCTCGTTTAATATTCAGAAATTAATGATTTTAAAACCCGAGGAGTAATCCTCAAATAATATTTTTTCTTGAGGACCAAACAATTAACAGCGAAAAATAAACGGATTTCTCAATAATCCAATTCATTTATCAAGCATTGGAGGAAAATATTTATTTTTATTTTTCATAACCCTATTTTTTAAAAATATGTTATATAGTGTTTTCCGCTAATAAAATATATATTTTATATATTTTCTGCAATCCCGGGCTGTGGAGGAAACCCCGTACTTTAGGGGTATTATCGCCAATATATTTTAGAATGCGGATGGGGTAGGGGACCGTCGTGCCGCCGCCACCGTCGGCTCTTTTGACTGGATAAAGTCAACGTGTTATGACTGAAAAAAGCTGGTAGTTAGTCACCCCCTTCGGGCATCTATATATGCATTATAACCATTTCGTCCTCCCCATTCATTCACCCGCCCTCTCTCTCTCTCTCTCTCTCTCTCTCTCTCTCTCTCTCTCTCGCTCTACTGGTCTTAAGAATGGTGCGAAGGTCAGTAGAGGGGAGCAGGGGGAGCGTGGTGACGGGGGAGGAGAGGGAGCCGATGCCGGAGACGGTGGTGGTGAAGGCGAACGGGCGGTCGGCGATCCTGTCGCTGGTGGCGACGATGCTGTGGGTGTGCCCGATTGCCCTCACTGTGTTCCTCTGCCTGGTCGCCCTCTACTGCCGCTCGACAGCTTCGCTCTGGTAAGGGCAGCGGGGGGAGATTACTGTTCCTTGTAGTATTTTTCCCTCCGGATCGGCGATGCTCTCCGGCTCTGATGATATCTTTCTGAAAAGCCATTGCTCTCCTTCTCCAGGATCATGGGGTTTCTGCTCCTGCTCACCTTTGGACCCGTCAGCGATAAGAGCAAGTACGGGAGAGCTATTGGAAGGTGCGCTCGGGGTCTACTCCCCTTGTCCCTCTGCAATTTCGATAGTTCTCGGTGATCCTGATCGCGGGAACTCCTGTTCTTAAATCGGATCGGAGATACTGTAGACTAGGGTTTGCCATCTTGTCTGCTGTTACTCATTGGTTTTGTTCCTCTTTTCATCTCTCAGCTTCGTCGGAAGGTATTCCCCAGGCCACTTCCATGTCAATGTTCACTTCGAGGATGTGAAGGCTTTTGACGACAGCAAATCATACGGTACGGATTATTTATTGCAGTTGACCACTCATGCATTCGAGTTTTCCCTCTTTGCCTGTCCCTCGGGATCGGCCATCGGCCTGCAATCTCCTCGGGCCGCAGTTTGTCCTGAGTACGATTTCTGGTTGAATCTGAATACGAAGCATCTTTGTTCTTCCGGAGAAACGCGCTCTTAGGGGCCATTCGCTCATGAATGGAGCAGTAGTACCGTGTTATGAATAAAAAATACGGTGATTCTTATTCCATTCTCTACCTTGCTAAATGGAAATCATTCGATGCCGGAGATTAATGGAGTGAAACTATGAGAAATCCATCCATGCGCGAAGTTATCACAACAGGAGGATCATCAATGTAGAGATCCTCGAGGAAACTCTGAATTCGGCGGGCAGACTTTTTTTTCTTCTTCTCAGGTTTCCCCCTCTTTGGATAAATTAAAGCGATAATTTCCGTCTCCACCGACTGCATCATCGAATCTAAACTATTTCAAACGGTTTAGGAAACTTTGATTGATCGAATGATTCTTTTTCAAGGGGGATGAATCCTCCAAGAACATCTTGTAAGGCTGCATGCGAAATCACCAGACGAGGGCAAAGAAATAACTCTGAAACCTCTATTTTGATGCAGTTATCGCGGCTGAGCCACACTCGATATTCCCTGTTGGGGCTGTCTCCCTCTTGAACATCACCGGGCTCATGCCTCTCACCAAGTCCAAAGTTCTCGCCAGCACTGCGGTAAGCACAGCTCCCTCCCTCAGACAAGGAGCACACCATGTACTCCCCATTAATAGCTGTTTATGGGTCAGACAACAGCTCATTGAATCCCCTGCTGTCTGAATTCTCTTGCTTCAGATATTTTGCACGCCATTTCTCCGGCAAGTGACAACGTGGATGGGTCTTGTGCCCGCTACAAGGAAGAACTTTGTCAACTATTTGAAGGCGGGCTATAGCTGTATAGTCATCCCAGGGGGCGTCCAGGAGATCATCTATATGAGCAAAGATTATGAGGTGAGGCAAAGCTTATTTAGGGGCTGTCTTCAGTTTCATCTCTCTCTCTCTCTCTCTCTCTCTCTCTCTCTCTCTCGCTCCTTAGTTGATGAGGATCATGATTTCCTCAGGTTGTTTACCTCAAGAAGAGACATGGCTTCGTTCGGGTGGCGATCGAAACAGGGAGCCCATTGGTTCCTGTTTTTTGCTTTGGTCAGGTAAGGACACCAACATTCATCGAATCTTTTCCTTTAGATCAGAGCGCCAGATCTGATCCCTCTCTCTCTAGTAAATGCCAAAGGACTAATGCCATCACTCTTAGATATTTAAGGTCAAAGGACTTCACCCAATTGGTTTCTGTCTCTGTCTCTCTCTATATGCACATATGTATATATAGCATGCATCATTGCCAAATAGGGAAAACAATCCAGAGGTCACCAAAACCAAATATGAGAAGGAAAATATCTGAGGGCACAGCAAGAACATCCAAGCATGGCAGGGAGGTGGGGGGTAGTGATGTCGCATGATAACTTGGAGAAATGTTCGTGTGTTCTTCATGTTTGATAACTTATGGCGTTTGGTTTGGTTTGTAGAACAAGGCCTTCAATTGGTGGAAGCCGGGGGGCAAACTGTATGTTCACCTTTCCAGAGCGATGCGCTTTGCTCCGTTGGTATTCTGGGGAGTCCTCGGGTAAGTAAATAGGCACCTCAAAGTTTCCTCTCTCTCTCTCTCTATATATATATATCTAGAAAATGTCAACGGATGAATGCCAGCCGTCTTACCCTGTTTGGACTAGACCCGATTTCTCTCTCTCTCAATATATATAGTAAATGTCAACTGATGAATGACATCCATCATATGCTCTTTAGGTCAAAGCATCAGATGATGCAATGGCTCTCTCTCTCTCTCTCTCACTGTCACTCACTCTCCCAATGGATGATCCCTGCAGATCCCCGATTCCCTACCGCAGCCCAATCCACGTCGTAGTGGGGAAGCCGATGGAGGTCAAGCAGAACCCCAACCCCTCGACCGAAGAGGTGAGCAGCCCCCTCCTCCAACCTTTCTGGAGCCACCTTCCCTCTCCCCTCCACATCCACGGGAGAGTCAACGTTGACCAACAACTCACTCCTTTCTCCCTCCCCCCTCGTGCTAACAGGTCGCAGAGCTACACGCCCAGTTCCTCTCCAACGTGGAGACCCTCTTCTCCAAGTACAAAGATGCCACGGGGAACGCCGGGACGGAGCTCATGATCCTCTAAAGTCAACGCTGAGCCCTCCTCCAGTTTTAAACAGCATATGATTTTATGCAACAACCCTCTCTCTCTCTCTCTCTCTCTCTCTCTCTCTCTCTCTACCCCATATATGGCGATCCGACCTGATCCACGTGAGAGCGCTCGTGGGCCATCTTGTACTATATAAATTCATTGTCCATTGATCTACGAAATTGGAAAGAAAAGTCAGCCCTGCTCAAAAGGGAACACGACTCAATGATTTGATCTAAACGCTCTCTCTCCAATGATCTGATCAATAAAACCAGATTGGGCACCACTGATCACTAAGAAGATGGTAATAAGAACACGGAAAAAATATTAATCCAAGCATCATTTATTCGGTGAAAAGAAGTTTCTTACTTGCACAAGAAAATCAGTAATTTTGAACCAGCTCTGCGGCGTTGACTGAGGATCTCCATCCGCAGGCTCTGTTCTTCAGCAGCCTTCCGCATGGTAGCAGACCACAAGCCTCCACTGATGGAAATGATGATGTGTGCTCTGATCATCTGGTGCAGGCTCAGCAATGGGCGTTGACTTTTGGTATCACGACTTTTTCTTTTTATGGAAAGGTGATGAGCTAGATTCTTTACTCGAAGTAAAAAAAGGAATGAACCTAATCGTATGAATAAATCACGCGACATGATCTGGGCTACAGCTAGCCAATATTATTCATGCCGATGGTTGACTCTCGGTATCCGTACTTTTTGACTTTAATACAATAATTCAAATACTGAAACGACGACGATCATTCACTGCAGCGCAGGCACCGAAGTGCAAGCAGAATAGGCAATGGAAAGCAGAACATAAGATGTGAAAGGAATATACCACAGGAGTGACTCCAGCTCATATGGCGTTGACCAGAGGAGGGGGTCACCCTGTCATATCATCACTGTCCTCCTCTTCATCTTCCTTCAGTTTAAGTTCAGCAAGCAGATCTTCCAATTCAACAGGCTCGTCGTTGTCCCCATCCGTCGACGCCATCTCTGACGGCTGGCGCTCTTTGTTACGGTAGAACGATATGTTAAATCTCAGCTCGGGATCGACCTCCAAATCTCTCAAGAACTCTTCGTACTCGGTGTTCTTCTTCTCCTCGTCAACTCTCTTCACGGAGTCATCCACCTCCATCTTCATATTCTTGAGCTTCCAAGCACGGGTTTTCCCACGCATCTTCTTGCGCTCTTCTTCGTGGCTCCTCTTTATCAATATCGCCTCCGGAAAGACGAGGCCCCTGTACTTGTCCACCTCGGGATCATTGCTGTTGGATGCGTAGAGGTCATAGCCAAGAGCAGTATGGCCAGGTTCCAACAGGTGGCCCAGATGGGTTCGGACGATGAAGGTTCTACCGATATCCGAGACTCGGGCCACCTCGGCGTAAGCCAAGGCGTAATCTTTCTTACCGATGGTCGCCTTTGGTCCCTCGACTTCGACATTAAACACGAGATACTCAACAAGCTGCCTGCTGGTGAGCAGCGGTTTAAAGGGCAGCCTCCAGTACTGATTGGCATCCATGTAGGCGCTCCTGAGCGTGACCGGATCCAAGAGGAAGATGCTGTCGCTGACCTTCATGCAGAGCACCAGGGGCCCAAGGTTGCCCAAGCTATTTGAGACCTTTGGCGGGAGACAGATCAAGTCCTCCCGGCAAATGGGGCAGATCTCCACCGAGAATGTGTACTTGTAGTTGTAGTTGTTGCTCTTGGAGTCATGAGATACGAGCTGCTTGTCATTGCGACTCTTGCAAGGGACAACGCTACCCAGAAACTCCACAAACTTAACGGCGTGGCTCCTATTGCCGAAGAAAAAGTCAATGCCTTGATCCATTTCCTTGATGTTTATGGCCCTCTCAGCTGCGCTGTGCTTGAGAATGAGTTGCTCCAAGAAAAAGAAAGTCCTACGATGGGGGACATGCTGCCTGACCTGGACAGCAGCAACCCACTGGTCTGGATTGGCCTGCACTCTCGTGCAGGGGTCACACATGTGTTCTTGTTGGGTGAACTCCACAACGTACGGCTGCTCAAGGATTGCACCATGCAGGGCCTCTTTCTGGATTCTCACTCTCACCTTGATCCGCTTGGAATGGGGCTCAGTCCAGATAAACTCCGCATGGACCACTCGAACTGTGTTAGGCTTCTTGAGCCTCTTCAGGCAAAACAACAGAAGGTCATTGGACTCGAGCTCAGCCTTGATCCATGTCTTCGGTGGCTGAAGATAGCAGCCACATTCAGGGCAGTGTAAGATAGTCACATGCTTCTGCAAGCCCTCGGTAATATCCACATGTGATCGAAGGCATTTGATGCACATATTTGCTGCATTGGGCTGCATCGGAACGCCGCACATGCAGCAGAGAACGCTGCCTATTGTCTGCTGTGGAATGAACATGCCTGATGCTAGCTCTTCAGGCACCATCTTGAGGGTTATGAAGTTCTTTCCTGCTACAAGATGCTGCACAAACAAAAGTCAATATACCGGATAGAGAAAAATGCCCGTCTCCAGAGAGCTGAGGGAGTGGTCAACCATCTCGATCTTGGTTGGAGCACAAAATCATAGAAAATGCAAGAAGCGACCAACTGGATACAAGAGAAAAATGGAAAGCGAATAAATTTCATAAACACTCACCTGAATGTTTTATCGGTGGAATCACATGAGATGCACATCTTGTTTGATTGATGCTTTACAATTTTAAGTTTCTTTTTGATTGACGATGATAAAACTTTTATGAGTGATGTAGTTGTACTCACATATGAATACAAATAGTAAAAGAAACATGGGATGAAAAAATTAAACTGCAATGTGTTACACAGTCTTTTTCTCTCACTATAAACATACCTTTTTATTTTCTTATTTCAGCAGCGGGAACCTGAATGGTAAAATTTGTAAACACTAAGTTCAACAGAGAAAACATGCCGTAATCGACTTCAAGTGTGGAATTGACAAAAGTCGAACTTTCGTCTTCTACGAAAGAGATTACCACAACAGAGCAAAGGGTTCAGCCCGAAACACTCAATGGGTGACCTACAAGTCTCACATATGTAAGATATGGACATAAGGGAAAATAGGTTGCACCACACACGGTGAATTCCGCGTGTTGTGACAATTTCGTCACATAATGAGCATTTCTCACAAACCATCTGTTCTGCAGGTTCGCACAATGGAATTCCGGTTTCGACGCAGTGACCTTGTTTTCCCTTCTTGATATCCACACCAAACTACCTAGTTTTGCGAGCTATTTACCTCACACACTGCTCAATGAGATCATTGCTCTCCCAGCCGTTGGTCATCTGTTTCATCTCATCAAGTCAAACCTTATGTACATGTATCGATGTCGTTGTACCCCGTCCAAACCAAAACTTCTCACCAATGATAGTTTTCAATCGCCCAAAATGAAGAACAATGAGGATTGTATTAGAAGAGATTTTTCCATGCAAAGTACTTCCCTTCGGTAACAATGACATAGTAAATTGTACATCTCGTCATTAGCAAGATGTTACTCGTTCATACTACATAAATTCATTTTCATTAAAAAAACATCTACATATCATAATTACCTGACAATAGAAACAAATCTCCGATTTTCATCATAAGGCAAGAGTATAATCATACCTTCACTGGGGAAATCACCAATTCCGGGGCGGACAAAAGGTGGATGACGCCGAATTACAGGGGTACCTGCCACAAACTAAAAATATTTCAGGAGCCCCCACAGAAGGGAAAGAAGGGATTGATATACCGGGAGTGGCGAGGTAGAGCGACAACGTAGGCGACGTAGCTCGGGAGCACAAGAAAGGAGAAACTGGAAATAGACCTGCAATGGACGGCTGATCGGCAAGAACTAGGAGAGTTCGAGAAGGGACGCTGGGTCCAGAGATTCGGGAGGCGACGGACGCGCCTGGAGGAAGCCGGGGTAATTAACAAACTGGGAATCCACAAACGCCTGAAGGAAATTGGTATTCAGGGACTCGTTCTAGGTGGCTTAAGATGGCGGTCCAGGGTTTCAAAGGGCGAAGATGAGGTCGCCGAATTCTTGAGCAATAACTGGAGCGGGATACGACTCGGAGAAGGAGCTCTTGCGGCGATACAAACCTGAAGGCCTTCGCCGCCGCCGGGGCTGCCGCAGGATCACCGGAAATGTCGCTGGTTGGGTTGGTGGTGGCACCAACTAGGGTTCTGGGCTTTGTTTGGGTTTAGAACAGGGGGAGCATTTATATATTAACTTTTTTCTTAAAAGAAATGCCCTCTCGAATTTTTCCCTCGCACCGCCTTCATATGGGCCTAAGCTTCTTATGACCCATTAACGTTTTGGGCTTCATCTTCACATCTCTCTCTCTCTCTCTCTCTCTCTCTCTCTCTCTCTATCTATCTATCTATCTTTTTTTTTCTCTATCTATCTCTCTCTCTCTATTTTTTTTTCCTCTCTTTCTCTCCTCTCTCTATCTATCTTCTTTTTCTCTCTCTCTCTCTCTCTCTATCTATCTATCTATCTTTTTTTATCTCTCTATATGTCTATCTCTCTATCCATCTCTCTCTCTCTCGCTCCCTATCTATCTATCTTTCTTTCTTTCTTTCTCTCTCTATCTATCTATCTATCTTTCTCTCTCTCCAATGGGTCTGTAAGCTCCCTACCCATTTGACCTCTCTGGGCTTCGTCGTACCTGGCGGCGATGACTGATCTAAAATACCTCCATATTAATTAAAAATAATGATAAACGCGCAATTATAAAACATGGGCCCTTCAGCTGAATTGGGCCCCACTAGAACGGCCCGATAACTCCAACACAGCACCAGAGAGTGCGGGAGCTCTAGGTATCGGCCCATTTATTTCACATAATAATCCACGTGTCTAACCCTGATAGGTCTTCTCAGATTCCCCGGATAGTCCCATACCACAATTCGTAAAGGGTAGTTAATAATGGCATAAATTATACCTCTATAGTTTTCATAGAAAACGATAGTCTTGTCTATAATAGGATATTAATCAGTATCTATAAGAGAGGCCCATTAAGGAGAGAGACAGAGAGAGATCCTCTGTGGGCCCAGTCAGGCCCAATAAGAGAAGATGATATTTCGGCGGTGAACCAGGGGGGTTGGGGGGGACGTGGCGCGTCGTGGCCCACGGGTGGAGGCCGAGTCGGACACGTTGTCGCCGGCCGTGTGGAATCGTCCTCCCCGATCGGACGGTCAGAATAATTCCGTGCGTTCCGGTGGGCTCCCGACACGAGAATTTTGTGTCTATTTTATTTTCATCGTTTGGATAAACCGCCGTAGATTTTCTACGGCGGCCCGCGAGGACCACCCAAACGAGATCCAATGGGCTTGACTTCCTCGCGTAAGAGAAGGCGGCCACGTCAAGTGGGCCCCATCTTTCTGCCTTCACCATCCCACGTTATCCGGAGTCCACGTAACAACTCCCCATTGGATCTCCGAATTTCTAGCCGGTGGCGGCGGGAGGGCCTTTTTCGAGCCCACGTACGCCGCCGCAGCTGCTCGCCCACAGGAATAGGAAATTGACGGTGGGGATTGTCTGTTACTCCGATTTTCCTAGATCGGACGGCCAGAAGAGTCTGATTGGAGCCGACGTTGACCTTCTTGTCTGGAATGGTTGGGGGAGGCGAGTATTTAAAAGGAGAGGAGGGGCAGTAATGCTGGAGCTAATGCCTGTGAGAGATTTGGCGAGGCCGCAGGACCGCAGAAATGGCTCAGTTCGCTGGAGGAGGCGGCGGCGCTGCCGCCCACTAGCACTCGTCGGAGACCTCGTTGTTATCGCCGGAGAACTCGGTGGTGGCGGGGGAGGTGCTGCGTCTAGTTAGTCGCCGAGCTTCCTTTCTTCTCCTCGCGTGGCGCAGGCTGGGGAAGCATGGAGCTGAGCTGCGCTTCAGCAGCTCGTAGCCTCTCCCTCGTTCCTCTCTGCTCTTCGTCCCCCTCCACGTCCTGTTCCTCGTCCTGCTCGACGGGCGCTGGATTCAGCTTAAGATCGACCTCGGGGCGCTGCTTCGATAGGAACAGGAGGGGGAAGAGGTGTCCGGATGGAGGATTGGCCCTCTGCGGCAGCCGCGGCGTGTGGAACGTCGTGAGGGCGATGGCGGAGGGAAGCGGGGAGAGGATCGAGGGGATCTCCCATGCAGAGCCGCGGAGCGGGAGGTTCGTGAGCCCCGCAATGGAGATCTCGACCTCACCGGCCACGGCCGCCACCGGCTCCTCTGCGTCCACGACCACGGCCATAGATCGGAGCTTCACCAGCGGCGACGCGGATAATCCCGTTTGGGAGAAACTCGAAGCCATCGTCAGACTCAGCTACGGAATTGGTGAGCGTCGCCGTTGCTCCTGCCGATCCGTTCCTCTTTCATCTCTCGCAGAAATTAAGGGTTTACTGTTTGTTCGCTATGCTCGTCGAGAAATTTAGGGTTCATCTCGCTCTTCTCTGTGTTTAATCTCTGGAAATGCCGACAGGCGTGTATGGAGCGATGGCCATGGCGGGGAACTTCATATGCTCAATAACCGGCGTCGACCCCATGGGAGGATTCCACATGTCTCTGAAGGCCATTGTTGAGGGCCTCGGCTATGCCTCGCCTCCGATCATGGCCCTACTGTTCATCCTGGACGTATGCATCAGACATTTTATTTTCTTCGTGTTCTGCAAATCTTTCTTTCCTTCATTCCTCCGCAGTTGACAAGAACTGGCATGGCTTCTCAGGACGAAGTGGTGAAGTACTCCCCCCATGCTCGGGCGATCAGGGACGTGGAGGATGAGGAGCTCCGGAGCTTCTTCTACGGGATGTCTCCCTGGCAGGTACGTCCATGGCCCTCGCCTCCTCCTCTCCTGGTTCAAGACGCTGCTGGCTCCAGCAAAGCTTGATCGATGTCGCCCTAATTCCCTCTCCAGTTTATGCTCGTAATCACCGCAAGCTCTGTCGGCGAGGGCCTGTTCTATCGCGCTGCTGTGCAGGTGAGGACTCTGGGAATCACTCTAGAGCAAGCTTTTCATCAGAAACCTCGATTCAGTCATCCATGGAGGACATAGAACCAGTCCTGCTAAAACACAGAGCACGGCCGGATTAAGCCCACCTTCGATCATGCATTGCTCTTCCTTCATGCTCATCTGGGTATCCGAATTATTCACCAAGATTCGATATTCTTCGAGGATTGCAGGGCTCATTGGCCGACATGTTCTTGAGGAGCACCGACGTGTTGAAGGATGCTCATGGAATCGCCTCTCTGGTATGCACAAATCCTCCTGGTGCATGTTTGATTTATTTATTTCATCTGAAATGTATTTCTTCATGGCGCAGACCGGCATGCTGCCTGTGTTCGTTCCATTCGCCCAAGCATTTGCTGCCGCCATTACTGCAGCTCTCACTGGATCTCTCTACTACGTCGCGACTGCTCCAAAAGGTACTCATTGACCGACATGTTCTTGGTTGTCATCTGCCCAATGTTCTTGGCCACTAGTCCACTGCGGAGTTCTAAAGGTCAGATTTTTATGCAGATCCGACCTATGTAGTTGCTCCGGTCTTGAGGTCTCAAACTGGTCGTGAAGATCTCAAGAAGCTCTTTGCAGGTCTCTCTCTCTCTCTCTCTCTCTTCCTGTCATATAATTTGGAGAAGACAAAGATCAAACTGAGATGATTGATCCTCCTGTGCAGCATGGTACGAGAGGCGGCAGCTGAAGAAGATCTACTCCCCCCTCTTGGAAGGACTTCTGGCCCTCTACCTCGGCTTCGAGTGGATTCAGGTTCCTCTCTCTCTCTCTCTCTCTTCTCTGTGTGTGTGGTGCGGTTCTCATGGCTGGCTGTCTGCAGACGGATAACATCCTCGCCCCGATGATCACCCACGGCATATACTCCGCCGTCGTGCTGGGCCACGGGCTGTGGAAGATCTACGACCACCGGCGGCGGCTACGCCACCGAACGGCGCTGGTGCGGACCGATTCGAGGGCGTCCCGCAATTGACGCCCCTCTGGAGAAGATCTCCGCGGAGCTTCCGCCGCCGTAAAGGTCGCCGACCTGCCTCACTCTAGAGCAGAGAGAATGTACAGTACAGCTCGCACTATTAGCAGAGATTTGTACCTAGACACGTTCCCTGCTTTATATATGAATACGGTTCTTGCTCTTTCCAGTCCAGTAAAACTCTCTTCTAGTGAGAGAGAGAGAGAGAGAGAGAGAGAGAGGGAGCTAGGGCGATTCTTCCAGCTGGGAGATGATGCTGACGAAGACCCGGAACCCCTGGCACATGTCCGACAGGAGGCAATACTCGTTCTTCGCGTGGTACGTGGCCATTACCCCTGCACGCGCGAAGAACAAGCTCACAGACCCAGAAAGGCGCGATTTTTATGCGAAAGAGACGCCGGAAGAAGGTCCTCACCATAGCCAGTGGTCTGCACATCGAAGCCCTCGTCCTGCATCCGAAAACAAGAGGGCCAGAGGGAGGAGGATAAGCGAGCATCTTCAAGCTGGAACAGCCGAAAAGGAGGGATTTTTATGAGGAAGCAAGCGGGAGACTTGCCTGGAGATCTCGGATCAAGGGGAGAGTGCCGGTGATGGAGTAGGGTTTGACGTGGCCCACCACCTCCGTCGTCGCCCTGCAGAGGACATGGTAGCCGCGAGAGTTGAGGTCGCAGGCGACCCCCGCCGTCACGGCCTCGTTGAAGCTTATCTCCACCCTGTGAGAGAAAAAAAAAGAAAATCCTAATTTCTTTTCATATGAAGAACTGAATATTACCGCATCTCACGGCCGTCTCTATCTATTGATGTACATTCTTCTTCTTCTTCTTCTTCTTCTTCTTCTTCTTGTGTTTAATCGGATGACAGGATGATCAGATCGCATCGTTGAATGATGAGAGCTGAACATAGATAGATATATATGCATGCCCATAATTTTTTTTTCTTGTTTTTAATGAGATAATATGATGGTACCACAGCTTCATTGATACTAATTTCCACTAGAATACGAAAAATAACGCAATTAGGACAAGTAAATTAAATCCAATTGAAATTAACGTGAAAAAACCCGGGATTTAAATAAATAATTATTGATGTCAGTATCCAAAACCAGCCGCACGTTCAGGGTTCTTGGTATATGAAGTAAAAAAAAAAAAAGGTTTATATATGATAAATAAATGATGAAAGCTCACCTCCCCCTCAAATTTTCATCAGGAAGGAAATAGCTTGAGACGGGTCCGCGGGTGTCGAGCTTCTCCACGTTAGCATTTATATCGTCCACATATTCCTGCAATTTCTTCACCACATCTGCCGGGCTGGAGAAGAAGCGGAGTTTCACAAGTCTCGACGAAGAATTATTACTCACACAAACTGGGTTTTTTATGAGACATGTTAAGAATCATGGTGGAAATAATTCACAGATGGGGTAGAAAAAACTTGCCTGTAGAAGGGGGTCAACCTACAAAATGGAACAGACTGACATCAAATTTCTCATCTTCTTCCAATTATGAGATGCTGTCAGAAGAAATGCCATGTAGTTGATGGAGCAAGTATGCAATATACGATATTCATATATTCTTGGGAAGAAAACTGTGGCAGATATGAGACTATTGGGTCAAATCTTCAGATGGATTCTTAAGAACGATCTAAAAACCTGTCAGCTCAGCCCGGCATACCATTTTTCTTAAATTGCATGAAAGATAAATTAGACATTATATTAAATTCTAACAAGATTGTAATTCTAAAAATCTAGAAGCCATTATTCTATGGACCTGAAAAAATGTGAGTTATCTAATATATATAAGTAGGTAAATAAATAAATGCACACCTAACATCCCCAGAGATTGTACATTCGGCGGGAATCTGGCTGACTCCACCTCCAGGATCTGAAATAAGCTATGCATCAAAATCGTATATGCTGGCTTCTGTAGGTGTTCATTAGAGAAACATGATGTTGCCAGATATAATGAGGAAGTACAAAACTTACAGCTCCATTGAGTCGGTTTCATTGTTGATGGAGTAGCAAACCCATAAACTGCTTCCATGGAATGTGGAGGGAAGTCCTTGTAAAATCGTAGCTGAATTTCTTTAAGAGCTTCCATAGCCAGCTCCAAAGGATTGATAGCCTGTTGACAGAAGAAATTAAAACCCATCTTCTAAGACACTTATCTATTTCCATTGTACACTCTTACAGTGTATAACATTAGAAAAAAAAAGGGGGAAGAACTAGTGATAACGACAGATCAAAGAGTAGCGACAACTTTTTACATTTTCTCTCATTCTTCCCATTGAAGTTGATAGATTCAAATTGTTGGTCCTTTGGTGGTTGGATAAATCAAGAGGAGGGGGGGTTGAATTGATTTTTAAATTTTCATTTGATTAAGTATAATATTTTTTCTTTTATTTTCTCTTGTATATTAATATCTCATTTATATCTCTATATTCATATATAAATGTAAAATAAATCTAAACAGAATAGTTAATGCCAGATTTTAGAGTGGCTCAGTCAAACTCTTCTGACCTACATCCACTTCTCAAGTCAATGGACTTTGAATTTCCACTAACCACACCCCATGATTACAGTTGACTTATAAACTTAGTTCCCCCATTACACCATAGACTCCTCAAGTCTACGTATTTATGCTAGAAGCTACACTTATAGCAATCTTCACCTAGACATGAGCGCACTATAGGCCTCACTCTATGGTGCCTAAATACTGAGAAAGACTTTAGCTCACCAAAGGAGCTAAATAGACCGACCAAGTACAACACAAGTACTTGTTTATTGACAAAGTGCACCACATGGACTTTTCAGGTCACCATCACACCACAGGTGTGAATCTTCCTCTCAAGCTCATCACATGTGCAAGAAGGACATCCTAGCACACCATAGAACAAGATACCAATAAATAATAATTTTACCGTAGCCTTCAAATCTCATTTTTGTACACCAAGAGTTGTTGAAGGTGTTGAGAGATGTTGGGCTGAAGGAAGAAGCTCTTGATGGTTGAAGAAGTATCCGTAACTCCTTTGAAGCAATTAATCTCGCCTTTGAATCTTGGAGAATTAAAATGAGTTGACCAAGAAGAGGAATCATTGTTGGAGCAATAACCGTTGCCTGAAAATCGTGTCTTTCTATCTTGCCCTAATTTGAGCAAAATGTCTTATTTATAGGTGGGTTGGAGCACCCCCTTTTGGCCCTTATCGGGTCAAATGGTCAAATTAAAATAGAATTTAATAGGCTGTTCGTAGATCTTATGAAACATAGAAAAAATAGTCATAAAAAATCAAAAATTCATAACTCTCGTGATACTTTGAAGTTTTAGGAATGGTTTTCCTTTTAATGATCTTATGCCTATATTTGTCATGTAGTATATCTGAGAATAAAAATATTTTAGCATGAAATATCATGCTTTTAGACTGTTTTGCCCCTATGACAATATATTAAACTAGTAATCTCGTAAAATCAATATCAAAATCAATGCTATGACCATTTTTTCTGAAATTTATTTCACTTGACTCTTCATTCAAAGAGCTTCATATTGATCACTTATGTGCCTATATTATTGGAGCTATTTGATATAGAAAATTAAAACAATAAGAGTTACACATGAGATGACAACATATTTACCTCATAAAAATTTATTATTGTATTTTTATCCAAAATATATAACAATCATATCCTTAATCGAAAGTTGAAATAGAATAAGACAATCAAGACCTTAATTTTTTGCTGAAATAATCTAAACCATTTAATATCATTTAATACATCAAGCTCTTATTCAATTTAGATCACATAATATTCATAAATCAATTACATATTAATGTCTACAAATCATCAAAATCATAATTACTATTTTGACTTAACCCATAACTCAACACAGATAGGTCCAGCCATTATGTTCTTTCTATCCAATATGCATATGATATTTTGGAAGGCACAAGGATTCAAAACACTAATTCTAAGGGAATATACATTTCCCTCAGAAGCTTTTTGACAATCAAAAGCTTGAAAACAATGGGGAACAATTGGTGATAAAAGTATCAAAGAGCAGCTGTAATTTTCCATATCTTCTCTCATCTTTCACCAAGAAGTTGATAGTTTCAATTATGCTCTTTCCGCCTATTCTATATCTGATAACTTGAAAGGTAGCCGGAGTACTGGTTTGGTCCAAAGCATAGTCCAAAACTATGCATTCACATCCTGGAAGCTACCTATTTGACCGCACCTATGAGGACCAAACCTTACGCTAATAAAACATAGCTTCCAAGTTCACAAGGCGTACGCCAAAATTTTATAGTGAATCCTGCATGTAACTCTGTTTCAAAAAGTATACATTATAATATACATATATGGCTTATGGGACTTGACGAATCCCAACTTCACTCCTTCCTTCGTCAATAGAAAAAGATGTACCAGCAGAGAAACACAGCATCAATGTGTACAGTAAGTGATATGAGGATAAACCAATGGCGTGCATTATGTCCATGACAACTGATGGATGAGATGCTTCAGATCCTAATTTCTGCCGATAAATTGTAAAGTGAAGAATGCTGCATATATGAATCCTTATGCCCATTACTTTGATATATGCAAGAATTCAGAAGAAAAAACACCAAAATTTCACAGAAATCTCCTGGTTGGAGTTATGAACAGACCTATTAATTAAAACCTAGTAAAGTTGGAAGGAGTGTTCAGATGCCTACCTTGTGTGGAAGACCACTATGGAAGAGCTTACCAGTAGCTCTGAGTCTCCATACGATCATTCCTCCAGTGCCTATGCAAGGATGCTTGTCAGCTGTATCAATCCAAAACCTACACAACCATGACAAAGCATAATTAAGAAAATATTATATCCATGCTCGACTCACTGTGCCATTACTTTCCCTTCTTAGTGAACTTCAACAGCGTTGAAAATGTAGAGTTCACAAAATTCAGGGACCAAACAATTTCTTGCAGATCAATGAAATTGTCTTGGCAAATCACCTGAACAGGTTCAATTTTCAAATGTATAAAAAAAGAGAAGACATCTACTAACAATTAACTAGTTGAAAAAAAAAGCCCCTCTGCCTCTTAAACTTCTATTCAATAACGCTAACATCAATATATGAGACCACCCTGCTTCGAAAAGCAATTTTAACAGGCAAGTAAATTTGATTCGTATGGTTTTTTCTACATCTCGTATATAGTGCACAGATAGTAGCGAGTGATAATATCAGCGCTTGAAGAAAAGGTGACAGGATCTATAGATGAAAAATATGAGGGGAGAAGTGTGAATAGACCCTGGGTGAAAGGATGGGGAATGGAAAAATGTGCATGGGAAGAATCCAGCAGAAAATAATGAAAACAGTTGTTCAACAGCTTTAATAGAGGGGATGTTTTCGGCCTGGAGGCACCACCAATGGGACTCTTTTGTTGATGTTTATTGGTATTGCTGTTGTGTTGCTTGGTGACTGGGAAGGTTATGGGTTTGGAGCGGCCACAGATGATACCCATGGTCTTCAGCCAAACTTGTTCATGAATTATAATCATAAGAGTCGGAGTCACTCATTCAATATGAGGCCGCCAATCCAGCCAAGAAAAGGGATGGATTCCTATAACTAAAACGGGGGTTGAACTCACCAAACAGGGCTTGCCAGTGTTTCTAACACATTTGTCACGTGGTAATGGAGTATGGATGCTATTGGCTAAGGAAGTTGACAACAAAATAGAGCTTAATGAAAATTATGGTAAAAGGAAGATTTAGAATTTTGGCATCCTTTAGAAAAATAAGGAAGAGGAAGAAAAATTCCCTCCAATTTGTATCTCAAAACGGTTGAAATATGAGGGGTTCCCTCCAATTTGCAGAACTCAAGTAAGGTTGAAGGACTGGAAAAGGTATCCCTCAGCCAATACAGGAAAGATTTAGAAAACTTGCAAAACTTTCACTGGGTTGGATTCTCTTTGGACAAGATGAGAAGGAGATAATGATAAGCAGGGTATCATAGAACTTGAGGGATATAGACGGGGAAAAACAGCAAATTTGAATTGAATATAGTCGCCAAATATATCTGTAGGGTATATTATGTACCCACCAAGTACTCGTTGGTTGGGGTCAATGACGGAAACTACACAGTTACATACTTAGAAAAACAGTCTGGCTGTCCACATTTCTTGGAAAATGCCAATAAAAGACAAGAAATAGAAGGAAGATCAGAGAAAATCAGAAGTAGGAGGAAAGAAAGAAGTAACAAAGGGACACAAAGTGGTGATATGGAGTGTGCATCCACTAAAGAAGTAGAGAACTCCAGGGGAAAGTGGAAACTTCTCATAGGTTATGCTACCTCCAAAGGCCCTGATATTCTCCCAGAGACTTCTCAAGAACATAAATCAGATGCGAAGAGAATTACTGCTCTCCGGGGCTGTGACTTCAGGTTCTATAAAATCTTGAGGTTAAATATTACATCTGAGAATACTAAAATCCAAGGGTAAGACATAATGCCTTAGGAAGTCTTTTGACACATTGATTTACGTCCTTCTGTACACTTGATATCTGAAACCATCTTCTCGTATAATAATTTACACAGAAGAACAAGAAGTTGGCAAGTTGGATCATAAATCTACTGGAGCATCCAACCAGCATACCCCTTATCAGCTCCCCATCTTCCCAATCTCCCCTATATTTATTTTTCTGGCAGGAATATTAGCCAACTGCCGACTATGAAAGACAGAAACTTTGAGACATCCTTGAAAAAAAAAATGTCAGGCTAGATTCCTAATCTACAATGTGTTCTTATTTCTAATCTATAAAATCATGAATTTTCGCGTCTGAATCATCAATCCGACTGAAAATTTGACAGAGAAAATATAATTGAGAATGAACCACTAGCTTACCACAGTCTGAATTCTTCGGGCAAAGTAGACCATTTGAGAGGAAACAAAAGGACATAAGGATAAATGGTCCACTCACAGGGGGCCTTGCTTGAGCTTGTCGAGCAATCCATCCTTGACGAGCATGTCCACACCGATTCCAAGCTCCGAGGAGTTTTCCTCGTTGGCGATGAACACCGCCACGACGGTGGACTTGAGGGCTGGCTTCGTCTGCCCCAGCCTCCTCATGAGCTCCGTCACCAGCGCTACATGGCCTAGGCAGTCTGTCGTCCCCCGACCCCTCAGCCGGTCGCCCTCCACGCTCAGGGAGAAGGGATCAAAATCCTGGCAACCACAAACATTGATTCAAAACATGCTCTCGGATCAAACCTCTTTCCTCTTCCTTCAGCTCGAGAGAGGGGCGGCCGCAAAAGAGGGCAGAAAGGGACAGATCAGGGCACCCAATCCTCGGGGTTGGCGGGGACGACATCCATGTGGCAGCCGACGAAGGACAGGATCCTGCCGGGGGCTGCGCCCGGGTACTCGACGATGATGTTGCCCCGGCCGTCGACGTAGCTGACATGGCTGACCACGAGGGGGCCCCCTGCGGCGCCGGGCGGCGGAGTGGTGCTGTAGGGGAGCAGTACATCGAGGACGTGGCGGACGACGCGATCCTCCTTGGGGACGAGGTCCGGGGGGTTGTTCTGGACGTGCCGGGCCTCGCCGATGAGCTTGGCGAGGAGCGAGACGAACGCCTCCTGGTCGAGGACGCCCAGCTGCTCTTTCAACGAGGACGGCGCCGGAGATTCCATGCTCCCTCCGGTGGTGGGGCTTTGATAGGTGCCGGGAGTGTGGGGATAAGTCCTGCCGATGAATAATATAGCATCTACTCCCGTGAGGCTGCGGCGGATGGCACGAACCTCGGCGGGTTGAAGAGGCCAGGCTAGATCGTCTTCTACGTGAAGTGGCCCCTTGGGCTTGGAACTGTTGATCGCCCGCTTCAGCTGTGATACATGGAAGACGGGATGGATCAGGGCTGTTTCGGAAATCTTCAGCCGATAGGCCATTGGGCTGATCTGCTCATGAATGCTGAACGGGCCATAAAGTAGAAGTGATAGTTTCACATGCCGCCGAGCCACGGACTGCTGCCAGTAAGGTTGAAGTCGGAGGAATACCCGATCTGTCCTGGAACTAGACGTCTCGCAACTAGAAGAGCTCGGTCCCAAGATTCCTGAGGAAGATCCGATCTCGGTCGCTTATCTCCCTTTTGTTCTTCCAAAAACTTGTATCATCGTCGAAGGCAACAATTTCACCATTTTTGGGGCTTAGATTGAGCTGTCGATGGAAGCAGAATGACGCCAACAATCTTCTCTTCAGAGCTCTTGATCTTTAGAAGCACCCCATCCCCCGATGATATCACAAAAGTATACTTGGGAGTAACAACTGTTGTCGCCTTCACGACGAGTCCCCCGATGGATCTCCGGACGAAGCCCACCACATGAGACCTTGGCAAGATGGAGACACGGAAGACAGCGGTGCTGCTGCGGTCCTCCTACCGGCGACGAATGATGTGCTCATCAGTGGCACAAACACCATGGATGAGGCTCTCGAGGCTTCCAAGCAGTGAACTCGAAATGAATAAGACCTTCGTTGATTCCCTTGTGAGGTGGATGGGGTCATCTGAGGCTGGACTCACTGGGGATTCATGAATCAAAAACTAGTTTTTCCTTCCCGACTCGGGGGTTGGATGTCTGAGAACTCTGTTGAAGGACGAGGTGAAGTGATTTTAGGCTGACTACTGTTGTTGCTCTGAGCGAGATTCTTCGAATTCTTTCTCCCTGAATTCGAGCTGGTTGTCTTGAGACTTGGGTGGCATGTTGGAGGACCAACTCTGCTAATACCAATTGATAGGTCCCCTAGATGAGACGGCCAAACCCCCAAGTGGGCCTTGACTGGCCGGAAACGGAGAGACAAAAGCTGAATTTACTGAAGCAAGAGTACGAGCTACAGTGAGGATCCTCGACTCTGAATAGCTGGAGGAGCTTGGCGTAAAGGGGAATACAAGAAGGTAGAATACATAGAACTCTCGCAAGAGTCTCTGTTGGGTCGTTTCTTCGAGATGGCGGGTCTCCAGGGTTCTTCTTCCTTTTTCTTCTCTACCATTCATTCTCTTCTTAAACTTCTTATAAGTAAGGCTCCGGATTACCTGGGTCATTCTGTCCGAATCTTCATGGTTGCTTAACGGCCTGACCAGCCCTGCTAATCGTTAAGTAGATCTTAACGGTCGTCGTCCTTGTTCATCACCGATCATTTGGCTCTCACCGGCTGTTCGTCTGTTTCTTGCATAGGCTTCGTAAACCCGATTAGCTTCCTCTGCTGGTCAAAGTCAATGAATTAGCATGCCATCGTCAGTTTGGCCTCCTACACCTAAGTTATATTTTTCTATTATACACCTAGAAAATTATAATTATAGTTATAATACCAACTTTAAGCAATGGAAATCACACAATAAATGAATAATTTTTTGAATCTGTTTATCGAATTGTGTCATTTTTTAGCAATGGATTTTTATTAGCATGTCATTGTTAAAATTTGGTCTCCTATGTTGGTCCCTATAAGGTTTACTTATGAATGGAGAAACAAGGGATTACTAATTTCATAACTGAGCATTCAAATTTTTTTTTCTTATTGACTTTTTTTCTTTTCTTTTTGAATTAATGTGACCGACTAATAATCAATGAGGAAGAATAAAGTTTGATGATCAACTCAAGGTTGAAGTTCAGCTTCAAAGGCATACATACACTCACTCCCACTTATGCCATATACTTATTAAGTTTATGAATATATAGTTCCAAGTTTTAGTTCTAACAATTTTTACTTAGATATAGGTGCATCATAGACATTTACTCCATCCACAAAGCGTTACAAATGTTTCTGATGAATTTGAAAACACTTTAGATGTCCTTGCCATCGTCAAATTTGTCAAACAAGTTGGTTTAATTGACCAAGTACACCATAGCTGTATTTTAGTTGACAAAGAACACCATGTCTACTTATCAAGCCACCACACACACTATAAGTGTAGGTTTACAATTCAAGCATATCATTGTGTTTAGAGATTGATTGAAGACAACAAATCTATGTATTTGTTAATCAAATGAATCATAAACACTCATGCTTTAATATGAGCTTGAACTTGTCCTTTTATTTACTCATGCTTGAGCAATGAAGAATTTTCAAAGTATCTTTCACACAAAGATGACAAAATTAGCCAAGTCAAGTTGAGAATGAATAAGAGACTGAGGACCACCACAATTCTATTCTTCTGAGCTTTTACCAAAGATGGCTCATTGGGTCAAAGAAATTGTCTAATTGTCTTAAAAACATCACATCTCATGCTTGTATTTTGAACTTCAAAAATTAACATTACTATTAAAAAATTAATATCAATTCAATGGTTTTGATAATTTGACTCCTTATCTATAGAGATTTCTCTTGGTTATTCACATATATATTTTAGCAAAGTCATTTGACACAAAATACTAAAACAGTAAGATTCAAGCATAGACTAATGATTGTTTTCCCTTGCAAAAACTTATTATATTTATACTTAGACATTTTAATTTTTCTACCCCTAATGAGAATTCATATTTCCTTAAATTTTCAATAGTCAAAATAATCAATTTTCTTGTGTAACATATGAAGCTAATGTAGTGCCCTTAAATATACATAATCAATTTCACATCTATTATCATTAATTTCATGATTCTACATTGAGTGATTTTACTTGCGTTCTCCTCTATAAATCATCAAAATATTATAAAGTTAATTAATAACTCAACATCCTAGACTAGTTCAGTGCTATTTTTCAAGTATGCCCCTAGAGAATAATTATTATTTATATTTTAATTTATGAGAAAATCCTAGTAAATGCCATTTTCCAAGTCTAATAAATTCAAATGGTATCATGAGAGAAATGTTTCTTAGTTAGTAATGAACTTTTATTAGCATGTCATGGTTAGAATTTGGCCTCCCAAACCTTATGGGTGCTATTTCCTAGTATGCCCTTGGGAAATTATTATTATTATTATTATTTATATTTTAAGAATAAGGAAAATTACAGAGTAAATGCCACATTTCAGCCACACAAATTTGAATATTGTCATAAGAGAAATGGGATTCATTTTTTTAGATATGGATTTTTATTAGCATGGCATTGTTAGAATATGTCCTCCAAGACCAACTCGGTGCTATTTTCATAATTTGCCCGTAGGAAATTGTTGTTATTATTATTATTATATTTATTTTAAGCGCTGAGAAAATCCCAGAGTAAGTGAGATATTCATAAGAGAAATGGGACTCAATTTTTTTCGCTATGGTTTTTCAGTTTATTTGAAAATCTATTTCGAAATAAACAATTAGTGTGGGAAAATTAGTGGATTATACCCTTCCGACAGGGTGACATTTCACACATTCATATTTTCCAACTTAGAAGTATTAGTGTGATTATGAGGAAGATGGGGTGTTGAGGATTAATAGATTCCCTGAGAGGAAGTGTTTGGGGAATCGATTCCCCGATTCGGCTGCATTTTGGGTCGGGGAAGCTGGTCGTCTTCCTCGTCGCTCGCCCGGGTTTCTCTCATCTGCCCGTCGTCCCGTCCCCAGCTCCCCGCCACAGCCTCTCCACCGCTCGCCCCACCGCCCTCCTCTGTCCCCGCTTCCTCAGTCAGCCCCTCCAACAACAATCTCATCCCCCCCCCCCATGCGAGCGTAGTCTGCTCAGCATGGCATGGAGAAGGGATTAGGCCTTTGTGGGCGCAGATAGAACTTGAGAAAAGAACAGACGGGTCGAAGAGGGGGGTAGAGGGAGAGAAGAAGAGAGATGGGTTCGCGTAGTCCGCCGAAGAAGAGCTCCTCGTCCTCGAGCGGCCGTCCGCCGACGGTGAAGTTCGCCCGCCGGACGTCGAGCGGCCGGATAGTGAGCCTCTCCCGGGACGACGAGCTCGAGCTGGGCCTCTCCGGCGAGTTCGCTCCCAACTCCGATCCCAACGATTACATCAACTACACCGTCCTCATGCCGCCCACCCCCGATAACCAACCCTCCGAGGGGAAGCCCGACGACCTCCCTCTGCCGCCGTACGGCCCCAACGCAAAGCGCGGCGGTGGCGGCCAAGGAACCACGAAGCTTGATCGGACGGTATCTGTGATCAAGCCCAATAGGTCGATGTTGCTGAGGAGCCAGACGGGGGACTTCGACCACAACCGCTGGCTGTTCGAGACTTCGGGAACCTACGGGATCGGGAACGCCTTCTGGGCTCCCGGCGGTGGCGGCGGAGGCGGAGGAGGGGACGGGTACGAGGACGACGAGGGGACGGGAGTGAGTATGTCCGACTTCATGGACAAGCCGTGGAAGCCGCTCACCAGGAAGATAAAGATCCCCTCGGGGATCCTTAGCCCTTACAGGCTTCTGGTGGTGTTCCGGTTGGTGGCACTCGCGCTGTTCCTGTCATGGCGGGTGAGGAACCCTAACCCGGACGCGATGTGGCTCTGGGGGACATCCATCGTGTGCGAGGTCTGGTTCGCTTTCTCATGGGTGCTGGACCAGCTCCCCAAGCTCAATCCAATCAACCGGGCGACCGACCTGGCAGCGCTGCGGGACAAGTTCGAGACGCCGTCGCCGTCGAACCCCCATGGCCGCTCCGACCTGCCGGGCGTAGACCTCTTCATCTCCACGGCCGACCCGGAGAAGGAGCCCCCCTTGGTGACCGCCAACACCGTCCTCTCCATCCTCGCCACCGAGTACCCCGTAGAGAAGCTCGCCTGCTACATCTCAGACGACGGCGGTGCCCTCCTCACCTTCGAGGCCATGGCGGAGGCGGCGGCCTTCGCGGAGGTGTGGGTGCCCTTCTGCCGCAAGCACAACATCGAGCCGCGCAACCCCGACAGCTACTTCTCCCAGAAGGGCGACCCGACCAAGAACAAGAAGAGGCAGGACTTCGTGAAGGACCGCCGGTGGATAAAGAGGGAGTACGACGAGTTCAAGGTCCGGATAAACGGGCTGCCGGACACGATCCAGCGGCGATCGGACGCGATCAACGCGAGGGAGGAGATGAGGGAGGTGAAGCTGGCGAAGGAGAAGGGCGGCGGCGGGCCCGAAGCGGCGGAGGGGATCAAGGTGGCGAAGGCCACCTGGATGGCCGACGGCACCCACTGGCCAGGAACCTGGAGAGCCCACTCCGCCGATCACTCCAAGGGCGACCACGCCGGCATTCTCCAGGTGATGCTGAAGGTCCCCGAGAACGACCCTGTCTACGGCGGCCATGAGGATAACAAGTACATGGACTTCTCCGACGTCGACGTGAGGCTGCCGATGTTCGTCTACGTCTCAAGGGAGAAACGGCCGGGGTACGACCATAACAAGAAGGCCGGCGCCATGAACGCGTTGGTACGGGCCTCCGCCATCCTCTCCAACGGGCCCTTCATCCTCAACCTCGACTGCGACCACTACATCTACAACTCGCAGGCCATCCGCGAGGGGATGTGCTTCATGATGGACCGCGGCGGCGACCGCATCTGCTACATCCAGTTCCCGCAGAGGTTCGAAGGGATCGACCCCTCCGACCGCTACGCTAACCACAACACCGTCTTCTTCGACGGCAACATGCGCGCCCTCGACGGCCTCCAGGGCCCCGTCTACGTCGGCACCGGCTGCCTCTTCCGCCGCTACGCGCTCTACGGCTTCAACCCGCCGCGGGCCTTCGAGTACGCGGGGCTCTATGGGCAGTACAAGAGCCCCGCCGCCAAGGCCTCGGCGGCCGGCGCCGGCGACGACCCGGAAGCTCGGCCGCTCACGGTGCACCCAGACCTGGACCTGCCCAAGAAGTTCGGCAACTCTACCATGCTGGTGGAGTCCATCCCCATTGCTGAGTTCCAGGGCCGCCCGCTGGCGGACCATCCCGCCGTCAAGAACGGCCGCCCCCCCGGCGCTCTCCTCGTGCCGCGGCCGCCTCTCGACGCCCCCACCGTCGCCGAAGCCGTCTCCGTCATTTCTTGCTGGCAAGTCATCTCTCACCACCCACATCGTTCGTTGATCAAGACATTATCATTCTTCCTTGAGCACTCTCCAATTCAAAAACAGAATCATCGTATAGATAGATTAGATGATCGTATGGACTGATGTAGAGTCAGAATGCTTCATGAAATTGTTCAATTTTCCCAATATGTGAAGTTCTGTGAGGATAACATTCCGTGGAAATAAATCTATAACAACAGCGAAGAAATGACACATCGCCGACGATCACCGGCGTCATCGGCGTGTGCTGCTGCAGGTACGAGGATAAGACGGAATGGGGGAGCCGGATCGGGTGGATCTACGGGTCGGTGACGGAGGACGTGGTGACGGGGTACCGGATGCACAACCGGGGGTGGCGGTCGGTCTACTGCATCACCAAGCGCGACGCCTTCCGGGGGACGGCGCCGATCAACCTCACCGACCGCCTCCACCAGGTGCTCCGGTGGGCAACCGGCTCTGTCGAGATCTTCTTCTCCCGGAACAACGCCCTCCTCGGCAGCCGGAGGCTCAAGTTCCTGCAGCGGGTGGCGTACCTCAACGTCGGCATCTACCCTTTTACCTCTGTGTTCCTCATTATGTACTGCTTCCTGCCGGCCTTGTCCCTCTTCTCTGGCCACTTCATCGTCCAGACGCTCAACGTCACCTTCCTCGTGTACCTCCTAATCATCACGGTGACCCTTACCCTCCTCTCCCTGCTCGAGGTCAAGTGGTCCGGGGTGGCCCTCGAAGAGTGGTGGCGCAACGAACAGTTCTGGCTCATCGGCGGCACCAGCGCCCACCTCGCCGCCGTCATCCAGGGCCTCCTCAAGGTCATCGCCGGCATCGAGATCTCCTTCACCCTCACCTCCAAGTCCGCCGCCGAGGACGAGGACGACATCTACGCCGACCTCTATGTGGTCAAGTGGACCAGCCTCTTTATTCCCCCCATCGTCATCATCGTCGTTAACGTCGTCGCCATCGTCATCGGCTTCTCCAGGACGGTCTACAGCGAGATCCCCCAGTGGAGCAAGCTTCTCGGAGGGGTCTTCTTCAGCTTCTGGGTGCTGGCACACATGTACCCCTTCGCCAAGGGTCTCATGGGGAGAAGGGGGAGGATGCCCACCATCGTCTACGTCTGGTGGGGCCTCATCGCCATCACTGTCTCCCTCCTCTGGATCACCATTAGCCCGCCAAGCGACAATGAGACCACGTCCGGATAGTTGGACAAGGCCTTGTCGCGGGCAGCTACTCCCGACTGAAGAGGAAGGTTTGACAGACAAGGTGTTTGATGGTCGGCTCATAGAGGAGATAATATACTTGAATGGAGGGGGAAAGAGACGTTTGATCATCCCCTCTAAACAACTTAGAAGGACTTAGTTTTTTATCCTCTTACCCTTTTTTGTAATATCCGATAATATATACACCGGGTTCTCTTCAGAGGACTTCGTAGAAGAAATCTTGTTCAAGAAGACGTTTCACAGGTGAAAAGATGCGATCTTCGCTACGAGCTTCCCTTGTGTCATTCATGGTACCTTTGTTGAGCATGAACGTAATTTGTTGCAGCAAAATTCACATCTTGGGTCACCTAGGTCACAAATTTCCTGGTCTTTGACAAGGTAAACTATAAACAATGATCCGCATCTAGTGTGTGCACGTATGTTGGCGAGTACAAACTATAAAGTGATTGCCTGTGCAAGTTTGCAATATGAGTCTAAAAAGTTATCATAATCAAGAACTGGGATGGTTCATATGCGGTATATTTCTCATTGAAATTCATTAAAACTAATGATAATGTGATTTTTAAAGTCAACTCAATTATATGTACCCTAGGAATTTTCGTTTTAGAACAATGCTTTTTCTTGTTGATGAATATTTCATAATATATTAAGTAATATATTCATGGTACTATAAATTTCTCATTCAATACTTTGAAGATCATCGTATCTCAAGGAAGATAGACTATTGAAATTAGATCTTCCATATATTCTTGGAAACCTAGTAACTTGTTAGTTCCTAATGATAGTGCTTCCATATTATTTCTCAAAAAATAAGATATTGTTGGCACTTTCGGATAAACTATGTTTAAGGATACAAATTTCCAAATATCATTATATAATTGGGTATACTCAGCTTGTTGTTGGTTTAAAGCAAGATGATTGAATAAATCTCACTTGATAGTAAAACAATTATTCTTACTTAGGTGTATGCATATCATTGGTGCTATAGATGTGGAAAAATTATAAAATCCTACTTCCATATGATAAGAATGCACTAGAAAATCATAAGTTGTGTTATTATATTGACATGTTTGTTTGACTTATGTTGGTTGATTTTAATTTGGATAGCTTTTTAACTTTTACCAAAGATAAACAAAAATTAGAAACCTATACAACAGTAGATGGTGACAAATGAGATTTTCAATATTGATTTCGTCTTTCTCGTGGAATTTGTCCTATCTTCAATATATGAAATAATATCAATGAAACTATCTTAAGGGGAAATTATAACATTAATTTGAACACAGCCCATGCTATGATTCTTCATGACTTTAAACATAATTTGTGAGCATTCAGCTCTTAATTGGTCATATTGGCCCATTGGTGACCATGACATTTTTAGGGTAATGGCCTACTAGATGCTTCCCATCATGTCTCTCCATCAATGTCAACTGTTGTTTGATTGAGATCAAAAGTAATTAGGACTGTTAAATAGAAGTTATCATCCTTAAATGAGTAATACAATTTTGAGTAAAGTGAGTGACAATGAAACACAATCTAAAATATAATTAGGCAAAGTATTGTATAAGTGGTAAACATTTAGGTAGAAGAATAAAAATCTCTATCATACTTGAATAATTATGATTTAGATATGCCTCACACCAACAATTTAACTATAATAACTTTTATTTATTAAATTCATCATTTATTAAAATATATTAATCTATAAATACGAAATGAACATAAAATTATTAGTGGATATAAATTTAGAATAGTTCAGCAAAATTTCTTTGATCTACACCAACTTCAAAAGAATCTATTGATGCCCTTAGTTTTAATGCTACAAGTAAAAAATTATTTATTAAGTACTTACTGAATATTCAATGAATTTCATGAGAGATTTTGTTAATAATTTAACATTTTCAAGAATTATTCAATATGTGTAATGTTAATACTCTTGTGATCCTATGACTAAAAAATATATATCTAAGGAGTTAATCATTGAGATCTTTATATGTTAGAACTAATGCAACATCTTAGATTCTATATATTAAGTACAAGAAATCTAGTGCCAATATACATGGTAAAATATTCAAGAAAACTTGAAATATCAAAGGTACATGTGAAAATCAAATTTGTAATTTAGATACTTAGAAAATACTTAGAAAATCATGAGGTTACAAAGTTACTTGTAACATTTGAACTTAAAACCTGAACAATAACAAGTCTCAAGCCTCAGTAAAGGAACATCTGAAAATTTATAGAATATCAAGGTAGGTGCAAGTCTTGAACCTAAAATCCATATGACGACAAGTCAGAAGCTTCGATGACAAGATATCTAAGAATCACAAAAAAGAAAATCATTGATGTGTATTTTGTATAATGACATGTTGGCAGATTATGTGGAGATAATGTTAGACTAAATTAACTTATTTGGACTTGACCTCAACAATAAAAATATTTGTTGACAAATAAAATCTCCAAGTTAAATTTCAAATCAAATATATATGAGAATAACAAGTTTTAGATCACTAAACATGCAAAAGTCATTAGTGCATTTTTTTAGCAATGAAAAGATTTTTGAATCTGTGTCCATTTTTCAAGACACGAAATGACCATAAAATGATGATGAGTTAAAAGGAAAAGTTTGTGAAGGGACTACAATGACTATCAAAACTCTCCATCTTATATACATTCCCCAATGGATATTATTATCCCTTTATCAAGGTTTAGTCATCATGAGTTTCGATGGAGAACATAAAGTTGCATCAATCCTTCATTCAAAATTAATGATTCAAAGAAATATTCATCTCAAATGTTGATGCTCTCTATCAAATCCTAAGCTAATAGGGTGGTAAGAGGAGATGTGTTTAGGTTAAAGTACATGATGTTGAGAACCTAGTTGTGCTTTTGAAGGGCAAGGTTTTTGAGGAGACTTAAGTGGTGTTGTTGAGCTACTGATCCTATTAAATCAATGTGTATCTCTAATTGAAAATAGTAAATTTCAGTATGAAAAATTCTTTCAAATTAGAAATATCAAAGTAAGGGGCAAATTAATATAATTTTTTTGGGTGTCTCTAGTGGTCAAGTGAGAGTCATGAGAGAACTTGAATTGAAAGAGAGAGAGAGAGCCTTGAGAGAACTTGTATAGAAAAGAGAGAGATGTTAGAAAACCTATGCCAAAAAATCCACTAATAGATAAAAAACGAGAATTAACAAAAAATTATAGAAATTCAATTTTCCACGCCCACTTGATGTTTCACATAGCCTCTGTTGATCCAACATAATTTATCTTGAATTAATTATTTCAACACTTAGAATAAGCTTAATTTTCTTAGAATCAAAAATCTCTTATATCATCAAACTTCACAAGCTTGTAACACCTCACATAATCCTAGAAACTAGTAATCTTAGATCTCACTCATTGTAGACACATCACAAGTGCCTCAATGACATAGGTGACTGCATTGTAGATGTACCAAAATTTTATCAACAAATCTATAGATTACTACTAATCATAATGACAATAAAAACTTAATTTGAGAAGAGGTTATTGCGGCTTTCATATGTCATTTGATTCACCATGAGTTGTTGAAGGACCTAAAAAGGGTCAAGATAATAGAGAGAACATTTGAATCTTATTTTTTTTCATGCACAACTCAGTTGATTTGTTCTTGATCTTTCTCATGAGTTTTTGAGTTCTTGGAAGGAGGTGAGAAAGAGGAGACCTTGAAGTTGCCATTGCCATTTAAAACTTTGAGTTGAATCTCATTAGATACCTTATTCTTGATTTTTTCCTTCATTGATAAAGATTCTAGTTGGTAGAGACAAAGGGAAGAAAGTATCATGATTGAGTTGCTGCCATTTTGATCTTTTTTCCTTGTTTCATGATCTTTCTTTTTCTTCTGAGTTTTCACCAAGGTGATCTAGAAATGGGAGATATGTATCATTATATCCTTGAACTTGTTGAGCCAAAATGGTTGGGTAATTGTCCTTATAAATTCACATCCTACACATATTTTGAACTCTAAAAATTTACGCTAATCTCATAAAATTAATATTAATTTAATGGCTTTCATATTTTTTCGTGTGATTTATTGCATTTGTCTCCTCAACCATAGAACATTTCAATAGATACTTGTGAAGGAAGCACTCAGCCATTCATCAACCTTAGAGAATCAATAGAGGGAGATAAATAGAATAATAGAACAAAAGGGTGAAATATGCTGACTGCTATGTTCGTGACAAGAGTAAATGGGCCTCATAAAACTAGGTCTGGCCCAATTTTCTTTGTGGGCTTCAAGAATGCACCCGATTTACTTATCCTAGAGAAATGAGTTGATAAAAAAATTAAAAATATTAAGACCTGTGCTGAAGATAATGACAATTACCATATGTCAAGTTTTTATTTACCTGATACTTAGATAGTTTTAACTTTTTTCCCCTTGAAGCAGACTAAATGGTGAGCAAGACTTATTTAATGTTTGACAACCAATATTATTAATTAAATCATTGTCCAATATGTGAAGTTATTAAATTACCCTTTCATACATGTGGTTATTATTGAAACTCTTTAAACTTGCCAAAGCCTCAATAAAATTTAATCAAATTTAGATAAGATAAACATTATAAGTCATTAATTTCATGATTTTATATTATATTGATTTTTTCTTAAATTTCTCTATAAATCATCAAAAAATTATGGAGTTAATCTATAACTCAAAAATGATGTCATTATCTGAGACTCATTATTTATATTCATGGAAAATACATAGCATTCTTTGTATATATGATGCAAAGAAAATTAGAGAAAAAAAGAAAGGCATGGATAGAGTTGGGCATTAAATGATGTCATCCAATATGGGACTCCTACCTTGGCTACTGAAAGGGTACTGGGACTACTATTATGGCCATGATGGATCACATGACGAGAGGTTTTGGTCAGGCTAAATCCTTTTTTGCCGATTTAGTGAACAAACTGCGCCTGGGCCTGCTGCACTAGA